AAGGGAGAGGGTAAAGGTAACTGAGGTCTTGCTTAGAATCCTGCCCACCACACCCAGCCTCCAGAGGGGGTGAAAGCATCCCTCACTCCTGGTCCCAACCCCGCGTGACACCCTGGGCTAGTCACCACCCATCTCTGCTTCTCAGTTTCCTCATCTCTACAATAGGGCAAGGAGCTGAATACAATCTAAAGCCCTCCCAGAGCCCCACTGAGAAGAGCAGGCCTGCATTCCCCTCCGGGCAACCCTGCTGCAGGGTTTGGGAAAGGGCCTCACCGAGGAAGAGCAGTAGCTGGGGCAATCACACGGCCCAGCCAAGGTACCCAGTTTCAGAGGGCCAGCCGCCCAGCTGGCCTAGGCTATAGGGAAGTGGAGGCGCCACTTCTGCTGGTCAGAGACCAGAGGCCAGGTCCCACTGGAGTCTGCCCAGGGCAAGGTGGCCTGCACCTAGTCAGCAGGGGTGTGGGGCCAAGGCCAGGTCAGACGGGCAGCGGAGCCTTCTCCTCTCCCCACCTCTCAACTGGAGCTAGCCTTCAAAATCCATCTCCCAAATCCATCCTGTCTTCCCTCTTCCAGGCCTCTGGGTCTCCAAAGGGGCCTCTCAGAGTCTTCCGGCCCCTCCCACCTAACCCTACCTCGCAGGGGGGAGTCGATCTTCATTCACACCCTGGACACTCTGGGCTGTTCCTGCGCAGGAACCAGCAGGGGGTCTCAGGAGCCCCTCATCTGAGAGTCCCAGTCAATCACCCTGAATCTCCCCCTCCCACCTCCCCACGGTAACAGAGGCACCTCTTCTCACAGGCTCTCCTCCCCCCCTCCCCAGGCTGCGCTTTCTTTTCTGCTTTCTTTTCGGGGGTCCCCACCCCCTCAGGCTCCCACTAAGGCCTGGCCACGGGGCTGGAAGGAGCCCTGCTCAACTCCATCCAAGCGCGGGAGCTGGGTGAGAGGCGGGGAAATGAATATTAATTTATCATGATTAGGCAAATCCGGCAGGGAGAGCCGATTCCGGAGGAGGCTAAAAAGATGAATTTCAGCAATAAAATTAAATAAGGACGGACGGGCAGCCCCTCCTCCCTCCCGCTTTGCTGATCTCTCTCTTTCTTACAATTTATGAGGCCAATTATGAAGATGAGGTTGGAAGTTCCTGGAACTTCACTAAATGCAAACGGCGGTCCCTGCTGTTCCCATCAAATTAATTAACCGCGCGCTATTGATGGCCGCTCAAGGCTGACGCAGGCGGCCCGCCCTGCGGCCGCCTCCACGGACACGAGGACCCAGAGTCCAGAGCCAGCCAGGGCCCCATCACGTTCTGCAGTCCCTGCCGGGCACTACAGGGGACTCCGCGGACCGCCCTTCCAGCCCCCAGGCCCTGCCTGAGCCCTTGACAACACAGGGGCGTGCTAGGGAGGTCTACATCACTGCGCACACCCACACACACGTGGGGCTGCCCACACACATACAGATACAAAATCCCGAACTCGTAGTACACAAACATGGGCCCAGAATGCACATTAGACACTCAGGCGAATGAACATGGAGTCGAACAGCCTGGGGCTCAGCTTCTGCACTAACTCCCAGTGTGTTCCCCTGGGGCTTGTTGAGGCCCCGGTTCAGACAATGGGGATGAAGCCTGGCCCAGAGTCCAGGTCAGCTTTGGGTCTTCGGCCCTGAGGACCCCCCTGTTCCAGGGCTCAGAAGCAGGGCTGCCCAGTGGCTCATGGGTTCTGGAAAACTAGCTGGCTGGTGCCTGGAATGAAGGGCAGAATGGACATGCGGCTAAAGGTCTTGGGGCTGAGCCCAAGGCTTGGAGTAGCTCCTGAGTGTCTGCAGAGTCTGGGTAGCAGCAGGTGCCCCAACAGCTATAGCTTCCATGTGAGGCTCATCTCTGAGATGGTGGGAGGGGCTGAAAGGGGCTCTCCTGTTGGAGTGAAGAAAGGGAGTGAGGCCAGTGTCTTCTCCATGTTCTGGTCCCTAGTCCTGGCAAAAGCCAGCCCATCCCATTTAAAGGGACAGGAATCCCATAACTATCCTGGAGAAGCAAAACAAAGGGCCTGGGTTCTCCATTCCCAGCCCTTGATACCTGGAGGGTAGGACATGGCTGGACTTGCCCACCTTGTCATGTCCGCTTCAGGCCAGGAGGCTCTTGGCCCTGTGCCCACACCTGTACCCCCCCCCCCCCAAGAAGCATCCAGAACCCAGGAGGAGAATTTGGCCTTATCTTGTTCCACTTTCAGTGCAAGTCTGGGACCAAGGCCAATGTCATCCCACCCAGGCCCTGGGAAAAGATAGGGCTCCCAGCGTGGTGGGGTTGGGACAGAACAGCCCAGAGAGATCTGTATTTTGGGCACAAAATGTCAGAGGGAAACGGAAATTAAGGAAGGCCCACACTGAGCAGGTGGCAGCCAGTTGGAGAGGGCTGGGGCCCAGGGCTTTGCCTGCCATCTGACCCTCCCCACCTCCAGGCATGTGAGGCTCCCACCCTTCCCCACACCCCAGCTGCGCTTGCAGGGGCCTCCTGTGCCTCACGGCAGGTCCTTCCACTCACTAGAAAGGGAGAGGCCAGGACACGCCCAGTCTACTGACTCTCTATATTGTTGCGGTAACAAATCACCACCTTTGAACAACACAGTTATCACCACACAGCACTCCTGTTAAGGAGTCTGAGGCAGGTCTCACCAGAATAAAGTTGAGGTGTTTCCAGGTCTGTGTTCCATTATGGAGGCTCTAGAGTAGAGTAGACTCTGTCTTCTCACCTCTTCCAGTGTCCAGAGGCTGCCCACATCCCTTGACTAGTGCCCCTCTATCTTCAAAGTCGGAAACATCACATCTCTCTGACCTTCCTTCTGTTGTTACATCTCTCTGTGTAGGTTTTCTGCTAAGGACTCATAATTAGATTGGGCCCACAGGATCATCTCTTCTCAAAATCTTTAATCATATCTGCAATGTCTTTTGCCAAGTAAGATAACATACTCGCAGGTTCTAAGTTTTAGGATGTAGACATCTTTAGGGGACCATTATTCTGCCTACTGTACATGTGATCTGGCCAGGAACAACTCTGGCTCTGAGACAGAGTGACGACAGCTGGGATAGGGGTGAGAAGCAGGCTTGTGGGCCCTTCTCCTCCTCCTTGGGACCAGATGGTGATTGGGTGGTAGTTTTGGGGTACTCAGTTGCTAGACAGGATGCCAGTTCCCACCAGGGCTCCAAAATTCAGTCTCCCTTTCTGGCAGAATGGGGCACTGGGCTGCAAGCCTACCCAGAAACCAAGTTCAGGCTCTGAACTACCTGGGGATCCTTCTAATACACTTTTTGCTTAGCTTGGACTCGGAAAACCAGCCCCTCCTCCAAACTGAGCAGCCTTTCTCCAGATAGAAACACTTCCCTCAGCTTTTCTCCCAGGCTCCTGTGTCAGACTGAGTGGCCAAGAGGATACCACCTCCAGAATGGGTCTCTCTGGAGGGTGTGGGTGCTCTTCTTTCTTTCCCAATTTCCTGTTGTCCTTGCCAGGAGGTGGGACAAGGAGTTGACTTGGTTTGAAGGTAATCTTTGGAATTCTGAATCTCTTGGGAGGAGGTTGAGGGGCCAGGTCCCTGTTTTCAGACACAGAAGGCAGCACTATCCTTCTCTGTAGTTCTGGGGATTTTCTGTGTATGGGAAGTGGTTAATTGGCCAAGTCACCCAGTGACCCACTGGTTCCCTCTTGCAGCCCTGGAGGCCCTATTACTGTGGGCCCAGACAGGATGCCAGGGCATTTATGTGGGAAGCAAAAGGAGAGAAGCAACTTCCACATTTGGACCTGGACACTCCAGGCTTTGGGTTTCTGCCAGCTCTGACCCTTGCTGGGAATGATGGCAGACACTGGGGGCCTAGTTCAGAGTAGACCTGGCAGAGCTTGCAAGCAGGGTCCAGAAGCAGCCTAAGGGGCCAGGAATTTGCCTGGCTTATTCATTCCGGGCCCCAGTCAGCCACACCTCCCTGGGAATAGAAGCTCCAAGGGACTCACCCCTCACGGAGGCTTCTAGGCCTTTGACGTGGCTGTCTCTGGTTGGTACTAAGCTGTGAAAAGGGTTCCCAGACTCCATGAGCTTTAGATTCCTTCCCCAGCATGCCCCGTGCAGGTGGGGCCCCAGGGCTTGGGCTTGAGTTCTGAACTAGAGTCGGGATCCCTATGCCGGGATGCTGGCATCCCCTGACCGAAATCAGGCCAACAAAGGCCAGCTCTGAGACTCTGCAAGTTACTGACAGAGACACAGGACTTAGTACCTGCCCCCCCAGCCCTGCCTCCCAGCCAGCACACTCAGGCTTGCGCCCATCTCTTCAGCTTCCAAACCCCCCATGCCAGGAGGCCTCTCCAGGCCCCTTGCTGCTCCTCCCAACACAGCCACCTCCTCCAGCCCTGTGCACATTATTCTTCATAGTGGGTATGTCCAAACCTTCTTCCCCACCCCACCACTCCCCTCACCAAACTCTCCATCCTGCGAGGTCCAACCTCCAAGTGCCATCCTGGTCCCACCAGCTGGACTTGCTCCTATCCCCTCTATCAAACTGAGCCCCTTAGCCCGACTCCCAGTCCTCCACCAGCCTTGGCATACAGCATCGTCTCTAGAGTAGGCTCTTTAGTTTTCCCCAAACAGGCAGGCTATTTCCCTGCCAGCCTTCCCCTCCCCTCCACGCAACCTCGTCTGACTGCCTCAGCACTGCTGGTAGCACAAGTCACCAGTTCCTAGTAAGTCTTGTCACCTTTATGTCCTGATAGCCTGTTCTAGGGCAGGGCCCACAAGAGATGCTAATGCGGAGACAGGCACTCCTAATGCCTGACTCCATGGATTCTCCCTTTTACCCGTCCATCTCTGCCCCCCTTCTGAGCTCAGGAGTGGACTTAAGCCAGCCCTTCTGGAGAGCAGTTAACTTGCCTTTCTGGGCTCCCATTTGGCTCCCATCTCCATCCCTGCCCGGGTTGAAGGCAGGCAGGGACTGCAGCAGTTCACAGACACCAAGCAGGCTGAATGTCAAGTGCACTTTACTGGGCCCCTGGGCCTTCAAATGCTATCCTCCCCAAGCCTGGTCACCCCGTCCCCACACCTCCAGCTGCACAGGAAGCGGGCTAGGGGGAGGGAGGACATGTGAAACGGCTTGTTCTCTTGCTCCAAAGGGTCTTAGGTGATGCTCAGCTACAGCTGCTTGCCCCTCCCCTGCAGCCCCCATCCTGCCCCCAGCAGAGAGACCCTCCTTGGGCAGGGAAGTGGGGGTGTCTGGGCCTTCAGCACAGGAAACTGGCTTCACACCAGCAGCTGTTCTTGCTTAAAATGAGGCGGGGGGGGGGGGGGGGGGAGGGGGGGGGGAGGGGGCGTGTCCAGAACTCCACCAGAGGCAGTAGTGAGGCAGAAGGCCAGCAGTCTGCTCTTGTTGAGGAGAGGGCTGGACAGAACGTGGGAGCCAGGCTGGCCCTTTCCCTCAGGCCCAGGCTGTTGAAGTAGTGAGGTTCAGCCCACTAAGGCTGGAGACAAGCACTGGATGGCCAGGTGGGGCAGTCCCCCTTCCCCCTAGCCACGGGTCACCAGTCCCGCTCGGCTGGCTCTCGGTAGGGTAGGCCTAAGAGCCTGAAGACATCCTTCTCAGTGGGAGTGGGCAGCACTCGGCCAGGCCCCACCTTGCGGCCTCGGCTGTCCCGGACCACAGCGGTGCTGAGGGCATGCTCCGACAAGCTCATGCTCTTGGTCTTGGCCAGAGCCCGCATGGAGCGGTTGAAGTGGGCAGAGCCAGTGAAGTAGAGCAGGGCGCAGGCAAACTCGCTGTAGGGCACAACGATGATGTCCAGTCGTCGGTGCCGCCGCCCCGGCCCTGGGAGCTGGCACACACCCAAGTACTTCTGCTGCTGGCCGTTCTCCTCCTGGCTCACCAGGTCATCCGTCAGGAACCCTGGCGCAACATGGGAAGGCTGCTGGGAGGGCAGGGAGCCAGGCTTGGGCTGCCCCGTCCTCCCAGGTCTCTCCTGTTCATCCCTGGGTCCTCCATTCCCTGCGCGTGAATTTCTTTGCTGGGCAACCTTGCCCTCTCTGCACCTGCCTCCTTAAAACACGCATGGCCATTCCTCCCCATGTCCCCTGCAGTGTCACAGAAAGGTGAGATCAAGCAATTAACCTGCGGGCAGTATTGAGCACCTATTACTAAGTGGAGGGGTGGTGGACTGTTTCATCTCTGCCCTGAACTGGCTCTGGCCACAAGAGAGAGGTGGCACTCTCACGAAGCCACCTTCCCCTGCTTCCTGCCAAGAGCTTGCGACTCTGAGGCCCTCCCTCCTGGGGGTCGGCTAGCCTCGTCCTGCCTGGAGCCAACCTGCTCACCCAGAGATGGAGCTTATACCTTGCTGCCGAAGGCTGTCAAGGAGGCGATTGAAGACGCCCTGGTGAGACCGGCCATCCGGGTGAGTGAGCAGCACATCCACATCACCACAAGTTGCCTTCCCGCGTCGGTAAGAACCACATGCCACACACAGCAGCCCAGGGGTGAAGGCCTGAGCTGATTCCCGGACCTGAGAAAGAGCAGAGGGGCAGGGGGGAGGGCCTGTGGGCCTCAAGCCCTGCAAGGAGTTCGTCCCCCTTGACAGCACAAGAGCCTTCCCCGACCCAGGAGCCCACATTTCCGGCTTATGCCCCGAACCAATCCCTGGTCGCATCACACGAGCCTGAGGGAAAGACTAAAGGAGGAGATGTCAGAGATCTACCCTGGGGAATGGCAGTTCTCCAGCTTCCCTAGGACAGAAGAGAAAACCTCGTGCTCATACCACCAGAGGCGGCCTGAAGAGGGATCTAAGAGGTGTATGCTCTGATTCTGAGGAAAGACACTGATCTTTCCTCCTGGAGCTCTTTAAAAGCGGAGAGACACCCCTTCTCTTGGCCCCGGCCCCAAACCCTATGCCTGGGTATGTCTGCTTAGGACAAAGGGCCAGGTGCCTGGAAGCCCTCCAAGGCCTGGTATGGATTTGGAGCTTAGAGCAGAGTGTGAGTTGGGGCTTGAGGCTTCATCAGGTGGCTAGCGGGGTGCCCCAGGCTGAGGCCTGGGGGGAAATGGAGCCTAGAAATGCAACCGCACCTATAGTAAAGAAAAAGAAAGAAAGCAAAGAGGGAGGCAATTCTGAGCCAATACTCACACCCTTACTTGGAGGAATGGGCTCGGTGCAGAGGGAATCAAGACAGGGGGCTGTCAGCTGAAGGATCAACCCTCACTGAGAGGAATAAGCCCATTAGCCTCCACCCCAGAGACACTGAAGCCTTTCATATGCAGATGACCTCCACGCCTCTACCCCAGGACACTGAGATTTCTGGGGCCCTGGATACTCCAGCCAGGACACCTCAATTCTCCTGACAGGCATGGCTCTGCTAATCCTCTCAGTCCCTTCTTGAGCCTCCCAAGAGGATGGGAGGAGACCTAGGATGAGTAATCCCATCAAAAACTCCTAAAGCTGGAGCCCTTAAGTGGGGGGAGCAGGCCAGGTGGGAAGCCACTGCTGTTCGAATGGGTTGGGGGCTGGAAGCTCACTGGGACATTCTCTGTGCCTGGACACCGTGGCTGAGTGACGGCGTCATTACTAGCACCAAGGTCTGGTGATGGGTGGACAAAAGGGCCTGTCCATCTATCTTGCGCCAGTCTCATAGTCCCGTGGCCTAGTGGCCTGGAGTGGAGCTGGAGGCTAATTTTAACTAAAGTGGGCCAGGGTCTCCACAGAGTCCTACCTGATCAGAATCTGACTCCAAAGTAGCAAACCTTGCCCACAGCAACCACCCCATAATCCTGAAGCTGACTGAACAAATGATATATCTAATCCTAAATACACCCTAGTCTCTCTCTAATCTAGGTTTTATACGAATTTACTCTCTAATCCAACGCTAAACCAAACCCTAATGTTGGCCAAATCTTATTTCTAGGACAATGACAAATCTTAACTAAAAGCATCCAATGTTAAGAAAACCCTACTCTTAATTCGGGCCTAACCTTAACTCAACCTAGCTTTTCTCTAACCCCAAACCTAACTGTACTGGCACTGTGCTTCTACACCAACTTTAACCCACACCCTGAACCAGTCTCAGGTTGGTGGGGGGGTGGGTGGGAGAGCCTTCAGAAGGCCCTTACCTCTGGAAAGAGATAAAAAAAAAACCAACTTTGGACATTTGTACAAATTTTGGAGAGAAAAGAGTCTATAGTTTTCATCGGGTTCTCAGAAAAGTTTGTAAATCAAAAAACATTAAGTACCTCTGCCCTGACCCAGACCTGGCCCAGTTCAAACCCCAATATCCTCAAGTAGTTCTGACCATATTCCACCTCTAATCCAGCCCAAACGTTAACCCAGTCCTAACATCATTCTAGCATCTCTGCCCATGTTCACTCTACCCTCATCCAGAGACCTGGTGTTGTAGCCCTTCCCTACCAAAGCCACCCTCCCCTCCAGCTTCAGTCTCAACTTGCTCTTGCCTCACTGGTCCCAACCTCTGCTGGTCCACAGCTTCTTCTGACTTCCCGGCTGAGGGATCAGGTGTTCCTGACTTTCAGCCAGGCCATGAGCTTATAGCAAGGCTCCTCACTGCTCTGGGGCACCTGCTTACTGTCTGTTCAATCTCTGCAGCCTCCTCCCTGGGTATGCGTTCCAGAAAGTCATCATAATGCTTCAGGCCAATGGTCTGCTGGGTAGTCAGGGAGGCCTGGCTGCGGATGTCTTCTAGGGTCCGGAAACCCTGGAAAAAAGAAGCCAGATGAGGAGGCTGTGAGCCGCCAGGACCAATGGAGAGGCAGTGAGTGAGCACATACACAAGGCTACCATCACCCCCAAACTCCAAGGAAGGTTTGAGGTAGGACCAACCCCAGGAGTGGTTGGGTCTCTAATCAGTGGGACTCAAGAAAGGTAGGGAGCACAGGAGACACACCCCAATCCAGCCCTGCCACAACCCTAAAATAATGGTTCATGAATCCATCGGTCTGGGGGATTCCGGGCATGGCCAGATTGGGGAACCATTGATCTGGATACTCAGCCCTGAGTCCTGGTCTTCTCAGGAAGGCCCTTGCTGGTCTGGGAGACAGAGAAACATACTTCTTATCTCTGCCTACACAACAGATTAATGCCTCAAGGCTACCAAGCAACAGGGCAGTTCTGGAAGCCAGGAGACCTAATCCCCTTGAAAAGTGGTCTCACTATAGTCTGGGTTCATTCCCATCAGAGTACAGGGTATGAGAACTGTGGGGCAGGACCTCTGAGAAAGAGCAAAACTGAAGTAGGTGCAGGGACAGGTACCTGCTGGTACCACATCTGGGCAGTCTTAGCTCCAGCTCCCCAGATGTTGGAGAAGAGCTCCAAGACAGGCACGCTCTCACTGATATGGTCCAGCTTCCGCAGATGCCCGCTTTCCAGGATCTCTACGATTTTCTCGGCCATCCGCTTTCCAATCCCGGGGATACTGAAGGCTTCCTGGGGAGGAGGAGGCAGAGGTAGAAAAGAAGAATGAGAAGATGGCAGGTGCGGAGCCAGTGGTAGGCTAGCAGACTCCTTCAGCAGGTATCTGAGTGAAGGCCAACCTGGCTAGTTGGCAACTGATGGCTGTGTAAAGCCTGGGCACAACTGAAGATGAGAAGTTAGGATAGAATGGGCTGGGAAACTTGTCTTTTGGTTCTCAGAGGGATGGAGGCGAGCACAGGAAGTAGAGAAAAGGCAGTAGTGACGATCCTAGTCACCATTGCCCTCGCAACAGTGAGGGCAGACATTTACTGAGGTCTGACTGCGTATCGGGCCTTACTGCACGACAGCGAGCATCTCATTTGGTCCTCATGGGAACACCTGAGTTTCTCACTCTTCTTACTTAGTTCCTTTTCCTTGCTCTAAGGGTTTAAGTAACTTGCCTGGAATCACACAGCGAATGATGGGAACCAGAATTCAAACTCTGGTCTGTTGGCCTCCGGAGTCTAAACTTTTTAAAAACTATTTACTATGGAAAAAATTCCAAAATAGAACAGTACAATGAGGGGCGCCTGGGTGGCGCAGTCGGTTAAGCGTCCGACTTCAGCCAGGTCACGATCTCGCGGTCCGTGGGTTCGAGCCCCGCGTCGGGCTCTGGGCTGATGGCTCAGAGCCTGGAGCCTGTTTCCGATTCTGTGTCTCCCTCTCTCTCTGCCCCTCCCCCGTTCATGCTCTGTCTCTCTCTGTCCCAAAAAAAAAAAAAAAAAAAACCTTTCCAAAAAAAAAAAAAAAAAAAGAACAGTACAATGAGCCCCCAAGTACCTGTCAGCAACTTCTGTAATTATCAAGATTTTGTCAATCTGCTTTCATCCATATCCCCATTTTCTTTTGTGGAAGTCTCAGACATCATAAAATCTTAAGCATTCCACCCAATCCCCCTTGTGACTGGTGCCACCACCAACCTCTGGCCGGTAAACAGAAGGCCCCCCATCTCCCCGCATACCCTGCACTGGCCCCCGGGTACCTGGTAGGAGGTGACAGGCTTGTGGAAGCTCTTGAGGGCATTGATGGCCTTGGCATAGCCCAGGGCCCTCCACTTGTCTCCCTGAACATTGTAGGCTTTGGCCAGCACTTCCAGCTTCTCTGTGATGTGGGGGTTGTGGTTAGTTGTCTTCTGGCTCGAAGGCTGTGCACAGACCCACTTATCCAGGCCCTCAGGGGCTGGGCTTGGTTCATCATCTCCCTCAAGGGGTGTGGGGTAGTGGCCACTGATAAGGGCTTCCAGATCAGCTGTGCTAACCTGGTTCTCTTCCCCATCACTGGTTTCATCATCAGAGCCAGGCTTGAGGGGGAAAGAGATGAGACAATAAGTTCACGCCCCCCAAAGAGCTCCTCAAAGGTGGGGGCTGAGCCTCCTAGTCAGACCCAGGGATGAGTCAGACCTGCACCTCCTTAAGTGTGGGGCCATGTTCCACCTGGCTTCCCCCAGTGCCCAGTCCTAGAATTCCCAGTGGTATGTGGTAGATGTGGCCTGGCCAAATGCAGACATGGTGGATGTTGGGAAGAGCCAAATGGCCTCATAAGAAAGAGGTTCTTCCTCTTTCAGGGGTCTAGGACTTTCTGAACCACCACCAGGCCCTGCCTGTTTCTGTGACCTAGTTCCCAGGGGAAGGGAGCTGTGAGGGCTGGGAGGCTCCTGACCTGGGCTTGGGTGCTCAGGGCCTCTTCTGCCCTCTGGGGAGGAGACACAGGCCTCGTGAGAGGAGAGGGAGGAGAGAGGGCTGTCCTGAGCAGAGCCTCATGGGCTCCAGGAGGAGCAGAAAAGTCTTGGTCTGCCTTGCTGACGTGTGGTTGGTCCGGGTACCTGCAGGGATGGTGATGGCAAGTTAAGATCCCAAAGGTCTGGCCCTACCTCTGCTCCTAATACTCTACTTTGAGATCTTGGTTTTCTAATGTGTCCGATTAAGACAATGAAAGTTATTTTGAATAGCCCAAGAGGAGAGCTCAGGATGCTGCCAGAAAACACTGAGGAAAGACTGGAGCCAACCCACCTGTTAGGGATATAGATGCTGAATCCTGCCGTGTCCACCAGCCTCCTCTCCTGCAGGCACAGGCTTAGCCAGGTGGACTTCACCAGCTGAGCGCCCTGGGGCAGCCGGGGCAGTCCAAGGAGGCGGAGGGCTCGCTCACAGTCCATGCCTTCATCCACCACAATGTGAGTGACGCCTGGGGCCTGGGCAGTGCATATCTGGCCACCGTGCTGGATAATCTGCTTCTCAAAGAGCTCTGCCCGGGCTCGCCCAATGCCACTGGGCACAACATGGGCCTGCAGGGAGCTCAGCCATTCTGTGTAAGGGACATCCAGATGCCTATTGTCAGATATGATAACTGTCATATATGTCATAACTGTCAGATATGATCCGAATGAACCTTTTACAGTCCTGTGCCCCCAAACAATCATTTTTCTTCCATCTAGACAGCCAGCCTTCTGGGGAATTCTGCCACAAACATACAGTTAATTTTCCCACGGACCATCACTTGATGTAAGGGGCAAGGATTTTGGTATGTCCTGTTCCCTCATGTAATCTAGAACAGTGTCTAGCACACTGTGGGTATCCTATATATCACTTCATTTATTTATTCTTTCAACAAGTATTAACAGACACCTACTATTAATAGACAGAGCAAGTGGCCTGTCAAAGACTGGGGCCCAAGCCTTGTGCAAGGGAGATACAAACCAACCTGTAGTCCGTGGGTGGGCAGAATCAGCTCTAATATCCGAGCCTAGACATGAGCAACATAGGAATCCTAAGGGTTCAAGTACATGAGGGTTCTGAGGGTGAGTCTGCTCACCTCCTGCTTCTCCATCTTCTTGCTTGGGAATCTTTGCAAGTGCTTTTGATGATGGATCGGCGTGAATTTTCTTCCGCTTGGGAAATGCCTTCAAGATGCCCCTGGGGTCCATTGAGGAATGGCCGGATCCTGGCCTTTAGGTTTTAGATTTGATCAGGGCAACTATCACGTGGAAACCCAGAACTGAGGTTACCCAACCCTTTGCCTATGGAGGTGGTGTCTCTAATGACCAGGGTTTGGGGGCAGTAGCCCAGTTCCTTGGGGTATCTCAAACCCAACTGAACTTTAGCAGTTTAGCCTAGCACTCACCAGCCTTTCAATGTCAGAGTACTGGGGAAAATAAAGGGAAGGATGGGACTATTAAGGAACTTCTGAGTGGTACAAAATGATATTCCTCGGAGGGGTTGCTCTAAAGATTCAGCGCAGTGTCTGCCCTGCTGCATCCCACTTTGAAAGGGCTCTACCAACAGGAGATGCTAGGCTAGGAAATGGAGCTACATCTTTACTTGGGCTCCCAAGAGGATTGACGGACTGGGGGGAATCTGCATATAAACCCCACATGATCTTTCTCTACCCCATCACAGATCCGCATAGGAAACCCTGGGAGAGCAGGGTGTTAGGGAGGCGGGGGAACGCCCTACACCTGCCCTGGTCGCGGACCTCCCGTCACGGGGGTGCTCAGCCCCGCAGGTGCGGGGAGACAGGGCAAGGCAGCAGCAGGTGTGGGGCGCCTTCCGAGACTAGAGGAGTCGCGGCCTCACAGCTGGGGGTGGAGACGACAGGCAGCTGTGGGGCACCCGCCGCGAGCGCAGCTGGCGCGCGCCAGGCACTCCCAGCTGGAGGCCAGAGGAGGGCTGGAGTGTCCGCACCCTGACCTAAGGATCCCTGCCCATTGCAGTGATTCGGTCCCAGGTGGGGTCAACTTCAGGCCCCGCGGGTGGGCTGGAGTAAACCACTTACCAGGGCAGCCAATGAGAGCGGACGAAGGGCGTGGTGGGTGGGAAGTCGGGGGCCGGAGGGGGTGGGGGGAAGGGTAAATGCTCAGAACATCTTCCGGGTCATCCGGAAGTGACCGTAGGCGGAATGGTTGCCATGGCAGCGGCCGGGGCGCTTGGCTGGGCGCAGGGAAGATGGCGGTAACCGGTTGGTTGGAGAGTCTCCGGACCGCCGAGAAGACGGCGCTGCTGCAGGACGGTAACTCGAGACCCCTCACGAGCTCCCTAGTCCTTTTCCCCCAGGGTCCAGCCCTCCGCGCTGGCACCTCCGCGAAGGGCCTCAGAGCCTGGGACGGTCGAGCTGGAAGGGCCGCGGCCGCCAGACAGGCCCAGTCCCTCATTGGCAGATGAGGAAACTGAGGCCCAAAGAGATGACGTGACTGGAACACGCGTCTCTGGACACCTCCTAGTTTCCTCTACACCACTTCGCCCAGCTCTGAATTCTGTTACTAATAAATAAGTTCCTTCACATTCGTTAAGGCATTTGCTCCCTGCAGCTGCCCGAGAGGCTGTTAATTTTCCACCCCATTTTGTAGAAGAGGAAGCTGAAATCCAAGAGTGTTTTAGACCAGCCCTAGCCCTCCCCACCCCGTCCAGTCAGCGCGGGTTCTGTTACTGAACGCAGCCTGGCGTCAGGAAGAGGCGGGAGACCTAGGATCTACTTACCACTCTGCCGTTAAATCACAGCCTCTTTACTTGCTTGGACCTCGTTTTCTTTCTCTGTAAAATGAGCTGGATGGGCTACCTCTGAGGTCCTTTTCAGCTGTAATATGTTTGTAAGTGAACTTCTAAATGTTTTTTCTGTAGCGAAAACAGAGCGAGGGCCCCAGGACTGTGCCTGAAAAAGGTGGGCATAGGGGTATGGAGTCTTGACTTTCTCTCACCCTAGGATTGGCGGATATAGGACCCCCAGTGCTTCAGAGCCCTTTCCTGGACCCACTTGGCAGCCAGAATGCATTGGATCTGAATTTTTGTAGCTTTTAGGATACCAGTAGAGGCGCACATCTGTAGGCAGAGGCCAATCAGGGAAGCATGTAAATTAACATCACCTGCTCATTTGCTCGTTCATTCACGCAGCATTTAGGGAGGCTTTTACTATGTGCTGAGGTATGTACTAGAGCAGAGAGGGGAAAAAATGTAAATAAATGAGAGTGTGTGTTAAATAGAAGTTGGAATCTTTTATAAAGTGCTATGAGAGCACAAAGGGGGGAATGATCGTTTCTTTGAAAGAAGACCTGACAGAAGAGGTGATGTTAATACGTCCTAAAGAATTAATATGTGTTTGCTAAGTGGAGAAGAGGGGATGGCTGTACCAGGAGGAATGACTCACATGTAAAGAAAGGTGTGGCAGTGTGAGAGTATATGCCTCATTAATAGGGGAATGACAAAACATTCAGGGAGGCCGAAGCACTCACCCAGTCAGAACGACCCCCCCCCCCCACCTTGTCAGGTGCTAGGATGCAAGGGTGAATAAAAGTGCTCTTTTCTCAAGGAGCAGTGAGGAGAAATGGTGGGGCATGAAGAGGGAATTTAGATAAATTGGAGTATGTTGTGATAGATCTCCTATGCCGAGCTAAAGATTTTGGACATTATTTCATACAGCAGTGGTTTTGGTTTTATTTTAAAAACTAGATATGGGGCGCCTGGGTGGCTCAATTGGTGAAGTGTCCAACTTCGGCTTAAGTCATGATCTCACCGTTTGTGGGTTCGAGCCCCCGGTTGGGCTCTGTGCTGATGGCTGAGAGCCTGGAGGCTGCTTCAGATTCTGTGTCTCCCTCTCTCTCTCTGCCCCTACCACCCCCCCCCCATGCTGTGTGTGTGTCTCTCTCTGTCTCAAAAAAAAATAAACAGATAACATAGATTTTACCATTTTAACCATGTTTAAGGATACAGTTCTGTGGCATGAAGTATATTCATATTATGGTACAGTCATCCATCCATCCATCTTTAGAACTTTTTCATCTTCTTCAACTGAAACTCTGTACCTGTCAAAAACGAATTCCCCCATTCCACTCCCACTTGTTGCTTCCACTTGTTTAGCTATTGTGAATATTACTACTGTGAACATGGGTATACAAATACTTGTTTGAGTATCTGCTTTCACTTCCTTTGGTCACAGGACAGTATCTAAACAAATATTTCATCATCTAGGATTTTGTTTTTTTTGTTAGTAGCATCACAGAAAAGTACAGATAATTATATAATCTTTGGGTAAGGGAGGATATTCTAAGCACAACTCCTGGGTAGTAACCACAAAGGAAAAAAATAGTTGACTATAATAAAAATTAAACAATCGTTTGGGAACACCCACTTTATTTTTTTTTTAATTTTTTTAACATTTATTTTTGAGACAGAGCATGAACAGGGGAGGAGCAGAGAGAGAGGGAGACACAGAACCTGAAACCGGCTTCAGGCTCTGAGGTGTCAGCACAGAGCCCGATGCGGGGCTCGAACCCACGGACCATGAGATCATGACCTGAGCCGAAGTTGGACGCTTAACCGACCAAGCCACCCAGGCGCCCCTGGGAACACCCACTTTAAACAAAGTTAAGGGGCGCCTGGGTGGCTCGGTCGGTTGAGCGTCCGACTTCAGCTCAGGTCACGATCTTGCGGTCTGTGAGTTCGAGCCCCGCATCAGGCTCTGGGGCTGATGGCTCAGAGCCTGGAGCCTGCTTCCGATTCTGTGTCTCCCTCTCTCTCTGCCCCTCCCCCGTTCATGCTCTGTCTCTCTCTGTCTCAAAAATAAATAAATGTTAAAAAAAAATTTAAACAAAGTTAAAAAGCAATTGAAACAATATTTGCAATATATGATTCAGGGTTAATATAAAGTTCAATCAGATCAGTAAAAAAAGATGAATACCCAAATAAAATAAGCTAAGACCTAAACAGGTAATTCACTAGAAACGACCAATAAACCCTTGGAACAGTGTTCAACCTTACAAATATTTAAAGCTATGCGCATTTTCCTAGTATGTTACTAGAGCATGGCTTTTGGCCTCAAATGAGCTTAAGTCCAGGTCTGTCATTTCACAGCTTTATGAGATTGGACAAGGTGTATGACCCTTTTGCCTCAATTTTCCTCATTTATGAAACACATAGTGGGGGCATATAGGGTCACTGTGAGAATCAAATGCGATGAAACATGTAAAGTGCCGGCCACTAGTAAGCACTGCACCCTGCCTGGACTCAAGATGGACTCCAGGGGGAGAAGAGGGTCAGGCCACACCCTCAGCTACTCACAGGCAGCACCTTGTACCCCACTCCTGACAGGAAAACACTTTCCAGCTCTATGAGCCATCCAGATGATTGAGGGCACTATAATCTAGGGGCATGCTAAGAGGCTCTGCAAATTTGGGGGTGAGTTTCCTCAGAAAACAAGTTAGTAGTGACTTAAGGGAACTGTGTCCAGAAGAGTGAATTAGATGGGAAAGGGCTTGGTAGATCAGATAGTGACTCCTTTAGCTGCTCAAGGTCCCTGGGGTTCCTATTCATCAAGTGTAGGTTGGGTACCTGTCCCCTGTTATTAGGCTCACTAAGGAACCTACTTCTATCAGCTTATGACTATTATATAGGTGGAAGAGTTGGGCTAGGAGACTCTCCTGGATTCTTGAATTCTTTTTTTTTTTTTAACGTTTGTTTATTTTGAGAGAGAGAATGAGAATGTGAGTGGGAGAGGGGCAGAGAGAGAAGGAGACAGAGGATCTGAAGTGGGCTCCCTGCTGACAGCAGAGAGCCCTCACGTGGGGCTCAAATTCATGAACCTCGAGATCATGGACCTGAGCTGAAGTTGGATGCTTAACCGACTTAGCCACCCAGGCACCCATGGATTCTTGCATTCTTTCAATGAAAGTTGAATCAGTGTTCATTTATTCTTTCAATTAATATTTAGTTGAGCTCCTGGTATATCCCAGGTACTATGCTTGATGTTAGGGAAACCATAGGCAAGAGGGATGAAACCTATCTGATAGAGACAGGCAGTAATCAAAGAATCACACAAATGTAAATCATAACCAAGGTAAATACCGTGAAGAAAACATGTAAGGACTAACATTATGTGGCTGTGTGCTAGGAATGGCCTAGAGATGTGTAGAAGGCAGAGCAATGGCATGGCTAGAAGGAGTGCTTGGTCAGGAAACCCACTTAAATATTCTGAGCACATAGGCTTGGTTTTTTTGTTTGTTTGTTTTTATTTTTTTTTTTAATGTTTGTTTATTTTGAGGGAGAGAGAGAGAGACAGAGTGTGAACAGGGGAGGGTCAGAGAGAGAGGGAGATACAGAATCTGAAGAAGTCTCCAGGCTCCAAGCCGACAGCACAGAGCCCGATGCGGGGCTCGAACTCGTGAACCACGAGATCATGACCTGAGACAAAGTTAGATGCTTAACCAACTGAGCCACCCAGGCGCCCCCACATAGGCTTGGTTTTAAGAACTGAGGAGAAAAAGATAAATGTGGCACTGTTCCTGGGGAGACAGGATGCTTTTTTTTAAAAAGTATACTATGTGATAAATACTCCACTATGGATATGAATAGAATACTAGGGAGGCACAAACAAATAAGGAAGTGATGCATTTTGCCAAGGTGGCTGAAGACTTCCCAGTGGAGTGACATTTGAGTTGGATTTTGAAGGCTGAGGAGTTCAACAGATGAAAAGAAGGATGGAGCTTTGCTGGTAGAGGGAACAGCAGAGCAAAGACACGTTCAGAGAAAGCCGCGGAAAGGAAATACATCCCCATACATGTCTTAAAGTAATGGTGGGCAATGGTTGGCAAGGAGTTCATGGAGCTCTGGAAGGGTTTCTCATGTCCAAGCCCAAGGCTGTTGGTGTTTCCCAGGTAGATCCCTTGATGTGCAAGGTGCAAGGCAAGAAGCGGCTTGGGGGTAAGCGACTCTCTCTACTTTGTGCATAGGGAGAAGGAAGGTGCACTATTTGTTCCCAGATGGAAAGGAAATGGCCGAAGAATACGATGAGAAGTCAGGCGAACTACTTGGTAAGTGACAAGGGCTCCCAGTGGGCCCTCAGGAACACTTGGGGTGACCTAGCACAGGTAAACACTTCCAACCTGAGGCAAGATTGTTCCTGAGAATGATGTGATGTCAGGGCTGGACACCAGAGGTGGAGTGGGTGTCTGCTGGACTAGTAAACTCCACCTGACCCCCAGACAAATGAGAGCATAAGTCTCCTGTAGGGAAACTGTCGGTGAGAACTATATAGGGAAGACAGAACCGGAAGTGAGCCTTTTATAGGCTGAGTGAGTAGAGGTAAGGGTAGGCTTTAACTGTAGTTGTTTTGTTTGTTTGTTTTCTGAAGCCACATCAGGAGCAAGCCAGCATCAGAGGCAGCAGCTACTCATGTGGCCACAGAGGTGGCACTGTGAAATCTGACCCTTACCTTGGAGAATGCCTGAATCAAAAGGGGTTGGGAGTTGAAATGGGGATTTTGCAGCATTGTTGTTTTCATTCCTGCAACTCTTTTCCTCTAAGACTAGGCTCACGAATAGGGGCTCCAGCTCAGATTTCTGGGAGGTATTTGATTTGTTCATCCTCTGTGCCCAGGTATGCACATCAGCATTAACTGACTTCCCAGAGCTAGGTAGCTGCTTCTTTGACCCAGGGCCTGAAGCTGTCAGCAGAGGGAGTTGGTCTCTTTATTAAGTTCCACCTGAAATGCTAAGACCAGTGATGGAATCATGGGTTGGGTTATTTTCTTGACTTTAATTTCTTCCTGGGCCTGATCGACAGGTAGTATCGACAAGGGAATTTCGTTTTCCCTTTTTCTGACAGCTCATAAATGTTGAGAACCGACAACATGGATTACACTGGTTTGCATTTTCTTAGTCTCCAGTCTTAAAATGTGTGTCCTGCGCATGTTCAGTCACAGAGTGAAGTGTTGATCCCTCCTTATTATGAGCTGCTTGGGCTCCAGTCCCAATTGGTTTAGTCTGGTGCTATTAAAAATCTTGATGTGTTTAGCATATGACACTGATTTGGTGGAAACCAATACAGTAGTAATATCCTTACAATGCATTGTAATTTATAGCGCTCCCAGGGGGTGACAGCCTTGGAATGCCTAACAGGGGCGAGCTTATGAAAGCAGAGGTCACGTGGGCTAACCACCACCATTGCCAGGCCAGAGACTAGCTGGAGTTACTCTCCCCCAGCCCCCGGCACCTCCTCTCTCTGCTACTCAGAGCAAATAAAACAGCTGTAGCTGCTGTGGCCATAAAAACAGGCAAACAAATAACCCCAGGCCTCTTAGTTGTGCTTGGACGTGAAGTTAAAATGAAAAACAAGTTTAGGTGCCTTCATCTGTAGCATCCCACGTTAACCTGTCACTTCTCCTCTTGGCGGGTAGGGAATAGACAGTGGCCTACAAACTCCTTTTTTCTTAAAAGCAGAAATGGAGATTGAGAGGAGAACGTTGTTTGGCTGAAGTTGACCTAATAATGGTATTAATACCATAACTTTTATTGGGCACCCTGCTAGCTAAGTGCTTTACGTGAGTTATCTCACTGAATCATCCTCATGACCACCTGATGAGGTGTGCGCTCTTGTCCTCTTTTACAGTCAGAAAAAAACGGAGCCTCTAAGAGGTTAAGCACCTTGCTCAGAATTCCATAGTTGGTTAGTTTCTGGGTTAGGATTTAAGCCTGAGTCTGCCTGGTTAAGAGCCCACGCTTTAATCCACAATAACATAGTATTGGGAGTTGAGGATGTTTAATCCTGCTTTCTTTTCTTCTTACTAAATTTTGTTTTCCCCGGAATGACCGGAGTAGGGGCTGGTAGGAGCAGAACAGAGATGGACAGACGGGAACACCCCATTCAAACCACTGGGCCCTTTTTGAACAGCCGATCCTTTTCTTCCCCATCTCCAACCACTCCACCTTACCCCTGCCAGCTGCAAAATACTGTTTATTATTCATTTTTAAGTATAAACAATCTCAGGGCCTGAACTAACATCAGCTTGAGCACTCTATGAAGTAAAATATGGACAGGGTTATTATAGCCATAAATGGGAATTGTTTCCATTTTTCCAGCTAACTATACAAATTTGATAATTGGATAAGCTGGTTTTCTGTTAGAAGAATGCAGAAAGTAATTTGCCAATAGCGCATCTGTGTAGGATAGAGTTCTTCCAGTCGGTGTTAATAAGCATAGTAGTGTCATATTTTTTTCAACCCTCTCAATGCTATTCATTCCCACCCCGCACAATGCGTGCTGTATGTAGTCATAGAGGAAAAACCTGAAGGGCCCCATAACAATGATCGGAACATCAAACCAGCCCCAGAAGAACACAGCATGTCCAGGGGGGCAGAGGCTGAAGGGCAGGCCATCCCCCAGCGATTACATTTGGATTACCGGCTTAATCTGCTTTGGTATTTGACCGCCAGCCTAACCACCCCAGGCTGCATTTGGAGGATATTGAGCACTTTCATCCCCAAGCACTTCACCGGCTTTATAAATGACCCACTCGATTCCCTTCAGCCTCCTCAGGGATGGGACGTGGCAGCTGTTTAATAGCCACCGAGCAATGTTGCAGTGTTTTAGGGCAGAAAAGAAGAATCCTGCATCCAGTTTAAGCTGCAGGGAGTATTTAGGAAAGGGGAATGTAATTATCCATATTGGAAGCGGGCCAAAGCTTGGAGCTTTGGGGAAAGAGGCCTTTAGGACCTCTACTTTCCAGCCCACCTGAAAGATGGGGCTCCCTTTCAGCAGTCTAGGACATCAGCCTGCTTCCTGCTGATTTAGGAAAAAGCCCCCAGGCACTGCCTCCTTCATCTATTCCCTATCAGACCCTGTAGGGTCATTGACAGTCTCCTTTCCAAGGACTGGCCCTGGCTCAGCTGGGAAGATAGGACAGCGTCCCAGGGAGCTACCTTGCACACACTAGTTTGAGTTTAACATATAATCAAATCAGAGTGACAGCAGGTGGAAACAGTCCTCTGTTGCCGCAGGAACTGTCCTTGAGTTCAGGAACAAAGACAGGACAAGAAAGATGAGACAAAGTGTGTATTTGCACGCGTGCATTCATGCCCATGTACATGGGGAAAATAACAAGGACTCCACCAAAACTGTTTATTGGCTCTTGTCTCATAAAGGAATGAGTAGGAAGACCTTCTTCTACATTCTAGCAAAGAATTTAATCCCAAGGTGTCTTTAAAAAAAAAAGAAAGAAAGAAAACGGTGAGACAGCCAGAAGGCTGGTTTCCAGTTAAGCGATGTATTACATGAATAGATTTGGATACACTCCCGGTCACAGCCCATTCACTTAAGAGAGTAGAAGTATTTGTGGGGAAAAAAAAAAAAAAAAAAAAAAAAGTTGCCTATAAAGCATATTTCCAAGTTTTACTCTTCCTTATTAATTTTCATTATAAACTTGGAAATGTGTTTCTAGGGAGAATTTTTGGCCCTAAGACGTAATAAAATCACACTGCAGAATGCAGCAGACCTTATAAAAGCACATATTCAAGGGAAAATTCTAATTTTACAGCACACTTTTGTGTTCAGCTTGCGTGCCTTACTTGGAGCAGGGAGGGTGTTTGGGTTTGGCATGGCCGCTCAAAAGGTCTCAAACCCATCCTGAGAATCAAGACGGCAGGTCTCACCACCCCCCAGTCCAGAAACAGGAGCGGACAGGAGTAACTTCGGCAGAAAACCAGGGACTTTTTGAGTTGTTTAGCTCCATACGACGCTTCAGGAAGCCTGCTGGCCTTTAGCGCCACTTAAGCTGGCCGAGGACCCCGGTGCAGCAGGAAGGGGAAGGAGCCCCTGCGTTAGAGCTCGGGAAGGCACCCCTGCAGGGATGGGCTCAGGGGCTACACCATGACGACATGGATGAGTGGGCTTCCTGAAAGTCCTGGCAGGGGGCTTCAGGTAATGTCCACCAAGCTAGTCTTTTCACTTATGATATCCATACCGTATGCGCCTTACTTGAAAAAAAAAAAAAAAACACTTATGTAAATAGGTGGGTTGTGAAACAAGGTAAAATAGAAATGATTGATTGCATTATAAAAGGGTGATCCTGCTCTCCAAAAGATTTCACATTAGATCTTCTGTAAATAATGCATTTAAAATATGGCACGTGCCTAAAATTTTGTTTAAATACAACTTGGGCTGTTGTTGTAAGCCAGGTATACCTGAAATGAGTGAATTTCTATATTGGACTTTCTGAATCAGGAGACAAATCTGTCAGCTTTCACCCTCTTAATTTTTCCTTTGCACATTTGTAGAGGGAAAAAGTACGTCTCAACTCACACTTCTTGGGATCCAAATGTTCCCCGTTACCAGTAGCTACTCTTTTCTTAACCTGCACATCCCTCCCTTACTTGAAATCACACCTGGAGGATTCTTAACTCCACTTAGCTCCTTTCAGAGCTTTGTTTCAGTCCCTTTAGTTTGGGTATCCATGATGGGGGATTTCCGAGTTATCCAAAGCTGACATGCTCTACTGAGTAGTTGGGAGGTCCTGCCTGGGTGTGCAAAGCTGGTGTAAAGGCCTGTCATGCCCACTTTTATCCTCTACCAGTTATCTAATATGAGGTCAACGATTCAGCGGGTAAGAGCGGTCCCTTCCTTCCCTGTAATCCCATTGCTTCCTTCTCTCCTCAGTGAGAAAGTGGCGTGTGAAAAGTGCCCTGGGAGCCCTGGGCCAGTGGCAGATTGAGGTGGGAGAGCCAGCACTCCCAGGAGCAGGGAGCCTGGGGCCTGAATTCATCAAGGAAAACAATGCCAATGTATGTCTATCTGTCAGGTGTCTTGGGGAGGCTGGGGTGGGAGTGGGCTGCTGGCTCTTGAAGGCAAACACCATGTCTTCACCTTCTTGTCTCCAGTGTACCCACCTGGACGCAGCCCTCTAGAAGTGTTTGCTTGAATGAAGTCCCAAAGGGTTTTGGTTTGGTCATCCCAGGAAGAGGGCTCCAGGCCTGGAATGTCACACAGTGGCAGCATCAGAAGGGAGCTATGGAGAGGAGAGGAGGGTCTCCTGTTGTGTGCCCTGGGTAGAGCAGGGAGCCATCCCTTCCCACCCTCTCCAAGAGCCGTCTTTAAGTTGGATTTGTCTTGTGCAGCCCATCTTCATGCGCAAGGACACCAAGATGAATTTCCAGTGGCGGATTCGAAACCTCCCCTACCCTAAGGATGTCTACAGTGTCTGTGTGAACCACAAAGAGCGCTGCATCGTTGTCAGAACCACCAACAAAAAGTAAGTGGCCTCAGGAGCCTGCCTTGTGTATGAGCACAAGGTGGGGAGGGGTTTGACCTTGGGTTAGGGCTCCGACTGCTCCCTACCCCAGAGGGAGAACAGCCTCCTCTTCCAGCTCTGAGGGAGGGAGGTGGGCTGCACTGAAGCCCTGAAGGTGCTGAAAGCTGAAGGGGTTCCTTTCTGCAGGAGCAGCTCAAATAAAGTAATCAGCTCCATCAGGGCAGGGAAATTTGAGCAAAAAATGTCTGGTCCGGTACCTGGCACGTACTGGGGTTGAGGAGGGGGTGAGGGAATCACCTGGCTGTTAACTTGTGATCTTAGGTGGTTCTGCTATAAGATTATTAACCTTGACCTCCTGGCTGGATCCAATCCTTGGTGCACTTGGCCTGGTGACAGACATCACTGTCGGGGCTATCAGGGAGCCATGGCTTGGAAGGCACACCCATCTGAGGTGGCAGTTACAGGACTTCAAAGGACTAGTCTGGGGCAGCACACCTTATCCCTCACGGGATTGAGAGGCAGTAGGCAGGTACTTTGGCCTCCTGGAAGTCTCTTATATTCTGTTTTAGAAGGGGTACTCAACTTCCCTTTGTTTTTCTCAGTGTGTTCTGGTGGGAGGGTGGGGAGCGGGTAGGTAAAATGTGGGATTGAGGGGACAGAAGGTGGCCAAGAAGGAGATTTGATTCAGGCAGGGCTGCTTCTGGGTTGACCATCTTGGAAATGCAATGATACTGTTTAGATTTCCAGAGCTCTGAGTGGTCACAGGAGCAGAGCCCTGTAATGGGTTGGTCTTGCCCTGGTCCAGAGGGATTGCAGTATAGGAACAACTCCCACGAAATACATTTGGGGCATTAAATTGGAGGGTTTTACGAGTTACTGGTCCACAGACTGTGAAGCCACCCAGCACGCCTCATGGGTGGCTAAGCTTAGGCCACTGGTGCCACCATCCATCCATCCACTGCTTCACATGCATAAAGGAGGACCCAGCTCTTTGTCCTTCTCCTCAGGTGGTGTGGTGCCAACCTCCCCTCCCATCTCCCTCAGGTCTGTAAGGCCCATGGGGAACTAGCAAAGCTCCCAGGCTCCCCCAGTGCAGCCGTGGGTCTGCCCTCCGCTTCTGACCCCCATACCCTCTCACTGTGGCAGGGTTAAGGGGATGGGGAAGGGGTGGAGATGAATGAATTAATTTCAAGATTATTGCTCTACATGCAGCCAGCAGCCCCTGCAGTGGGCCTTGTCTATAAATATAAAGTCATAATAATAAGGGTTTGCGTTTATAAAGCACTTTGAAGCCCTCAGATAAAATGCAGTTTGTTCCCGTTATTGTTCTCATCATTAACGGGAGTCGGTGCCTAAAGTGGAATTTAGCAATTTCAGACAACAGAGAAATTGCCTTTAGGAAAACAAACTCCGTGCTTCAGCAAGCATTCCCTGGCGTAAGGGGCCCTGGGTCCAAACTGGGAACAAAAGTGCTTCTGATAGCACTTGAATCTGCAGCCTAGCAGTTTGTGGAGCTGGCTGCTGCCTCCCTTTTGTCCCCCAGAGGTCACTGTCGAATACAGATATCAGGCAGAAATGTGATTACCCGGGAGTGAGAGAGGAGAGGCTAGCTAGCTCACCAAAAAATTCATCTGCGGGCAGTTCCGCTGGGTCCCATCTGCTACACAGATCCAGCCGTAGGTGGCGCTGTTGGCCAGGAGCAACATGGCTAGAAGCCCGCTCCTGTGCTCAAGGCAGTGGGGAGACATTTTTGAACTGATGGGTGAGGCCAGGTGGGATGGGAGTAGTGCCCCGAGAGGGGCAGGGGTTGGGGAGAGAAGTATGTGAGTGCCCACTTGGGAGCCCGCACTGAGCCTCTGGTCCAGCTGCCCTGCCTGGTTCAGACTAGTCTTCCTCAGGTCCTTCTGCCCGAGGTAGGAGAGAAAGGCTGCTAAATCTTTAACTGGCTCTTTCTGGAGTCTAGTGGCATTTTCATCTACCAGGAGCAGTAATGTGTCTTATATCTTTACTACCACTGATTGGACTCAGTGGCTGTTCTTTTGAGCAGGATACTCTCAGCTTTTTCAGGACACTTTAAAAATATGTTTTCTGGGGCTCCTGGGTGGCTCAGTTGGTTAAGCTTGATTTCGGCTCAGGTCTGATCTCATGGTTCTTGGGTTTGAGTCCCTCATCGAGCTCTGCAGTGACTGTGCGGAAACTGCTTGGGATTCTCTGTCTCCCTCTATCTCTGCCCTCCCCCACTCTTGATCTCTGTCTCTGTCTCTCTCTCTCAAAAATAAATAAATTTTTAAAAAGAGATAATTTTAAAAAGTCTTTTTTTTGATCATCACACCATCTGGTGTTGGGCAGGATACATATTTTTATTCTTGTGTTATATGTTAATAACTATATCACTGCGTCTATAAAGTCAGCATGATGAACTGACTTGCAAAGGGAAAGTTGGTGACTGGATGCCCACCCAGGCATCTGCAGTTTCCACCACATTGTGGCATTTCTGATTTGCTGCCTTCTTTCTCCTGCTGGTTCTGTGCCTGCCCCAGTTCTAATACTCAGGAATGTAGTTCCTACTAAAAATCAGAGTTCCTTTGTCCATACCTGCCTTGTCCCTGAAGTACTGGGTTGGCCACTTTTCTGGAAAGAATTGATTCCAGTATATCATGTCCTTGGCCTCAGGTATTAGTGAGGGGTGAATCAAGGAAGAAAGAAAGTGCTTTTCCAGAATCCCAGTGTGGCACCGCCTATTCCTGATAAGAGTGTTTATGCAGAAAGAAGATTCTTAGCCTCAGCCTTGAAGCTGGCAGCTATAAGTGTAATGAACTAGGGCACTGGAGTGGGAAAACATTGGCTTAAATCTGGTCTCTGCCACGTACTAACTATAGTATTTTGGGCAAGGTTTTCTCATGTATCACAGGAGAATACTCCTACCTGCCTCACAGATTGCTTGGGCAATTTGATGAAATCATACGTAGACAAACTTCCAGCACAGTGGCCAGCCCGAAGCATGTCTTCAGCAATTCTTTGGGAATTGGGACTTGGCTGATTGGACATTGGTGATGCCTACACGGTGGGAGGTGTTAATAGGCATCACTAGAATAAAAGGGATTCCATGGTCAAATAAATTCGGGAAACTGAATCAAACAAGTTTCTCTTTGGTAGGACTTCCGACAGGCTTAGTAAGGTGAATGCGCATCATGAGTCTAGGAAGGGCTGCTTCAGGCAGGGATGACTGGTTTGCCTGGAGCTGTGATGTTTAAGAAAGAAGGAAGGTTTGCCTGCTGATTTTCTAAGGGCTGGACTGGCTTGAGGCTCCTGTGGGCCACCCTGGCCAAGCCTGTGTGCCTGTGGGCACGGCCCGTATGACTGTTCACAGCAAAGCCTGCTTCTACTTTCCGCCTCTCTTCAGAGTCTCTTCCTAAAGGCCTGGCATCTTGTGCCCTCTCTCAGTTCCCTGCAAGGGAGAATAGGTTGGGGAAAGACTGGAAATTGGGAAAGGGATACAGTAGGAGAGTGGTGGGGTACCATAGGTCATTTCTGAAATAGCCAAAATGAAGAAGCCATCCTTTCAGCTCAGGGTTGAGAGAGGTAGAGTTGTCCTGTTCTTGTCCTTTGACAGTGACTTAAAGTTCATCTGGTTCAGTGACTAAAGTTCATTCAGCTCCTTTATTTGAGGAAGGAATTTTCAGGAAGAAAGTAGGGCCCAGAAGTTAAGGGGCCTGCCTAGGGTCACAGGCTGGGACCAGGCGCTATCGTGAGAGCCTTTGCTTCCCCGTGTCTTTGGAACACTTTTGACATTCAGAAAGGAGAGCTACTGTGTTACAGTGCCCAGAGGACCTGCAGGGTGGTTGGGGCCCAGAGGAGTCCATCCTTGGACAGAGCGAGGAATCTAGCCCAGGGGGTCTGTTTCTTTGAGGAGAGGATGTGGAGAGAGGGAGGGTCAGGAGGTTTGGGGAATCATCGCTTGTAATAAGGGCTTCTTCGTGTACCAGTTTTGTGACTCTGGCAAGATACCTAACTGTCCGTATCTCAGTTTTCTCTTCTGTAAAAGAGCATAATAAAAGCGATCAGCCTGAGAGAGTTGTTTTGAGGATTCAGTGTGTATAGAGCAGTGTGCATCTGGGCTTATTCTGGCCCAGAATAAGCATTTACAAATGTCACTTTTCATCGTGTGACTGAGACTAAAAACAGTAATGGGAGATGGGAACAGGGAGTGTCGTGTGTCCTCCGAAACCCCAGGAACCACTGTGCTGTAAGGGTTTAGCTTTCAGGCAGGGATAGGGCCTTCTTTCTTCTTCCTCCTCAAATCCCCAGCTCACAGCTTAAGGCCTGGGGCACAGTTGATGCCTGAGACATGTTTGCTCCCTCCCTAGGGCTGCCTGAGGCTGAGCATTCTGACTTTTCCAGAAGCACAGTGGGTCCCTCTCTAGTCCAGGTACTGATGAGAAAGTCAAGTGTGGTTCCTTTCAAGGCAAACCCCCAAGGCCAGGGAATGGGGGCAAGAGGGGGGCGGGCTGCCCCGAGGAAAGAAAGCGGACGCCCTGAACCTCCTTGAACACTGCCCGGCAGGGGCCTCTGTGGAAAGCTGTGTAACCTCAGCCAGTAAACTAAATGCTCAAGACCAAGCTGAGCCTCCAAACCTCTCTGCCTCCATGCCCTGGCCTCATGGTGAAAGGTGGGGGGGTAGACAGAGAGGAGGCAAGCCACGCACCTCAAGTTTCCTTTGATCTTGTCATTGTCACCATTGAGGCCAAGCTGCCTGGGTTTCTTTTTTCAGTCTCGATGTCCCAGCCTGGGGAATGTGCCCCTCTGTCCCCGGCCCCCCCGGCACAGGACAGGTGGGCAGAAAGGATGTCCCCGTGCCCTGCACAGTAAGGCCTTATACAGGCCCTGCGTGTGCTTGGGCTGCTGCTCCCCCAGTTCTGTTTCTTGTGTATATTTGCAGGGAAGATGTTAACACTTCCTAACAAGCCTTTGTGTTCATCTAATCTCTGCTGTTTAACCTTTGACTCCTCCCTATTATCAGTGTCTGCCACCTTTGCTGGCCAGCCCAAGGGCCCCAGGAAGAGCCCTTAGCCTGGGCTGGCTAGGCAGAGGATGAGGCAGCATTCCACCCCAGTTTGCAGGCAGATGGATCGCCTTTCCCTGGGGCAGAGCTTTGGAAAATAAAGCAAACTTGTGGTGCCATTAGGATCCCCCAGCCCCCACTCCTTTTGAACTGTCAGCCGTTAAGTAAACATTCTTTTCCTGCCGTGGGTCCCAGCACCTTGGCGGGAGCAGAGGACCCAGGAGGAGGGCCCCCCACCCCGGCCCCCAGAGCCTCGGCTAAACTCTGAGGGATTTGGGCAGGAGAGCAGGACAGAAGTGCGCATTGATGTCAACTCTCTGAGTCCCTGGGGCATCGGGGCTTTTGAAGTGGACTCGGGGTAGCTGTCACCACAAGGGCCAGGCCCCTCGGAAGTATTAAAAGCCCCATCCTCTCCAGGCCCCTCACTTGTTTGTCTGTACCTGCGGGCAGCACTGCCCTTCCCGGCCCACACGGCCACTGCAGCAGCGGTGATGCCTGGGCGACGGGTATGACAGCCACTGCCGGGGTCTCGACTACACTTCCATTGAGGAAAAGGCCACACAGGCCTGTTACTAGTGATGAGGTGCTCTGGTGTAATAAGCACCCATGCAGGAGGGAGGAACTTTAATCCTGACTCCACTGACCACTGGCTGTGAAGCCAGGCCAGACAGTTCACCCTTCTGGGCCCGAGTTTCCTCTTCAGTAAAGAAGGTCAAATTTCCTGTAAAACAAAGTCCAGTTGTACACATTATGGGCTAGATGTTGTTCTCTGGGTTTTTTGGTTTTGTTTGTTTTTACTGAAAGGGATCATTAGTCTCCGGGCTGACACCTGCAGATGATAGGGACCGTGTGTGAAAACGGAGGGGGGGGGGGTCTCAGGGCCAGCAAAGTAGTCCAAGTGCCAGAGATCCAGCTTCTGAGATGAGTCACATGATTTGTCCTCTTCGATGTCTCCTTGTCCATATACTTCTCTCTCAGAGTCAGGCCAGCAGGGCCTTCAAGACCGCAAAAGAGGAAAAAGTAGCTGAGGCTCTCAGTGGAAGTCCCATGTGAATGGCAACTGTTGGTCCCAGCTTTGGGCCACATCTCTAGATATACTTATTCTGTCCCTTGTTACCATACATGTTCCCATGTTCTTGGGGTGCAGAGGAGGCCTGGCCTGCCCTGCCCGAGCTGTGTATTACAGGAGGCTTCTTCTGCGTATGTTTGGGAGTCCTGAGCCTGAAGCATGGGTGACTCTAATCCCTGGTCCGATCAAGGAACCATGACGGGTCCTGCTTTTAAGCTGCTGGCCTGGCCAGAGGCCTTTCATTCTTTTCTGTCTAGGGCCACTAAGCTCTAACATACCGGTGTCCTGACTGGCTTCCCTCCTTCCTCTGTGGCTCTGTGGAAGAACTGTGTAGAAACTGTGCCAGAGGTGCCTGCTGCCCAGTTGTTGGGGGTCACCTTGCCAGATGTGCCCATGACCTCTTGGTGTTTCCACAGGTACTACAAGAAGTTCTCCATTCCTGACCTAGATAGACACCAGCTACCTCTGGATGAGTCCTCGCTGAGCTTTGCTCATGCCAACTGCACGCTGATCATCTCTGTAAGATTCACTCAGACTTCTTGGCCCCTGCATCCTTTTTTTCCCTGCCCACTTCCCTTCCCATAGGGGCCCCCCGTTCCATCCCAACCCCTGGAGTGTGCTTGTTAGAGTACAGGCACCTCTACTTCAGTGTGGGGAGAGTGGGGGTGGGGGCGCTCAGGGAGGGTCTGAGCTTGTAAATCATAGCTGGAAGAGGACAGAGGGTGATGTGGAGGGGTGGAAATCACAGGACTGGGTGGGGTTTTGGTGGTAGGCTCCTCTCCAGCCACGTGACCTTGAACAAAGCCTTCAACCCTATAGGCATCAGTTTCCTCATTTTCAAATAAAGACATCAGAGCAGGTCCCCCAACCCCGAGGGGGGATGTGACTGAATTATGTTCCGTCCACAGTACCAGAAGCCAAAGGAGATCCTGGTGGCTGAGGCAGAGCTTCAGAAGGAGCTAAAGAAAGTGAAGACAGCCCACAGCAGTGATGGGGACTGTAAGACCCAGTAGCAGCTCCCCCCAGGCCTACACCTCGGGGGCATGGAGGGGGTGAGACTTTTCCTGTTGGCCCATGAGACTTCTAGGCTTGGGCCTTTCTGGTGCAAGAAAGCTCCTTGCAGGAGCTATCCAGCCTCTGTGAGAAATGGGCCTTGGGGCGCTCTTAGCCCCCACATCATGGTCTTATCTCCTAAGTAAAGTCATTCTGAGTCATTGCGGGTAGACTGCCCTCTTGTCCACCTCTCCATGCTCCTGTCACCAAGAAGGGTGCTGGTGATGACATTCCCTTCTCTTCTATCCTTAGGGACCTCCAACATTAAAAGCCTTTCGCATAAAGGGAGGCATGAGTCTTAGGTGGAGCAGAGGTGGGGGAAGCTCAGAGTTGACGCAAACAGGTTGGGGAAGATGCCCGCTCGGCGCTGCTGGGCTCAGAGGAAGACTGGGCTGGAAGAGACCCTGTGCCACCTTAGCTTGCAGAAGTGGCCCAGATGAATTCCCTAAGGTAAGAGTGAGTGAGGGAGAAGTTTTAAAATACAGTAACCTTGGAAACAGGCCAGAATGAGGGTTGTAGCAGTGCAAAGAGTGGGTGTGTGTTGGAATAGGGTGCTGATGGATGGTAGTTTAGCTCCCCCACAGCCCTTCTGCTGGTCCCGAGCCATACCCGACAGGTGACATCCTCCCCACCACTCGGGCCAAAGGGGTGAGTAGTACCGAGAGGTTTTCCTGAAGGAAAGAAACAAGCCACGAGACAGGTCTTCCCTTTCCCCAGCATGCCCATCCCTAAGTTTGAATGTGTTCTTCCCTCTTTTGGGGCTTCCCAGGACTCCCCAGCCAGAGAGGAACCAGATCTGTGACCAATCAAGCTTTATTTTTACAAAAATGAACGTTGTAGCATGTCCCAGCAGCCAGCCTGCAATTGGGCTGGCTCAGCGCTCACTCAACCCTGTTCAGTTTCAAAGTGGGACCAGGCCACAGTGTCCCAGGACTGAGCCCCAAGAGCTCAGTCAAGGGGAGGGGCCTGAGTGAGGAGGTGGGGGCCGGTGCCAGAGCAGGATAGTGGCAGCCTCACCCCTCCTTCCGACGACGGGGCAGAAAGGGACCAGCTGGAGCACCTCACCTCCCTCAGAGCTGTCACGGCTCTAAGAAAGGGCGAGGGGCACGGGGGGCCCATCCAGGCCAGATCCTTGCTCTGGCCACCAGAGAAGCAAGGGCCAGCCGGGTTCAGCCATTCTCTCAAAGCAGCAGATCCCTGCTCTCCAGCTAGGTCCTGGGAGATAATGCCAAATTTCTGAGAGTCGGCAGCCTTTACCTTACGTTGCCCAAGATAGGTCTAGGAGCACAGGCACGGCGGGGGAGGAGGTATCACTGCACCCTCCAGGCAGGAGAGGTCCCTGAGTAGCTGGCTTCCCTGCCCCACAGGCTGGGGTGGCCCTGTCACGGGTTTTGAAAGTCCAGGACGTGGAGGTTGTAAGACAGCGCAGCATAGAGATGCTTGGTGGTGAAGCGCAGGCAGTACACGGGACTGCTGAGCGGGGTCGAGGTCAAGGGGAAGGCCTGCAGGGAGGGAAGGTACAGGAATGGCAAGCGCGTCCCGAGGCGGAGAGGGGGAGAGCCCTACCCCAAGGTTCCCAGGCACAGCCCCTAACAGGGAGTCCTGGCATCCTGGAACAAATGCTGGGCAGTGCTCTTACGTGTAGGCAGGCCCGCTGGCGCCGGTCCCACAGCCGCACGACACCGTAGTAGGAGGAACCGGTAGCCAGCAGGTGGTTCCCATCTGTCTGCAGGCAGTACAGGGTGCTGTCGTGGGGTTCCTCCCACTCCATGACGCACTTTCTGTCCAGGAAGAGGCAGTCAGAGGGAAGCGCAGGGGTGCCCTCTACCCCCATTTCCCCAAGGGTCTTAGAAATCCATTCTGGCTGGGAGACAGAAGCTGAATCAGCAAACTCTTTTGAAAAATAGACTTAATGGGGGAAAGCCTCCTCTGTATAGGTCCCCAGGCCAGATCATGCCCTCATCATCCCAGGACTTGGGCAGCAGGTAACTAAGGCAGGGAGAACGCTGATGACTCCCAGGCTCTTAATCATGGCCTGTAGGTTAGGGTCTCCCAGGCCAGGGCTGCCAAGCTAGGAGACTCAGCTTGATCTGACCTTGCTGGCTGCTCCTACTGGCCTCCACCTGTCCCTTCTCCCGGGGGCTCACCCAGAGGGAGGGCCGAGACTGCGTCCCACCTCCTGCCTATACACTCACCGGACGCTGGCTCGGAGGTCCCAGTAGCGAACGTAGGTGTCATAGCCACAGGACAGAAGTGTGGAAGGGGACTCATACATGACATCCAACACCCCAGCTCCTGGGGGGAAGTCACTGCCCAGGTGCATCATGAGCTGCCCACTGGGGAGAGAGCGGAGGGTAGAGGATGAGCGGCCGTCCCCTCCCCTTAGCCCCCACATCTGCTTTTAACCCAGTGGCATCAGCCCCTGAGGAAATGCAGCTCTCGCTCCTGAGCTAAAATCAGGCTCCCTTAGGAAAGGGCCAAGGGAGGAAATGCCTGGGGTGCCCACTGTCACCCCAGCCCCAGTGCCTGCCCCTCCCCCAGCTAAAGGCCTCAGCCCAGCAGCCCCTGATCACACCTGCTCGCTGCCTGGCTGCCGCTCCTCAGGAGGAAGAATGGGCCTGGCTGAGGGGCCGGCCCCCCTTCCGTGCACACACACACACACACACTCGGTTACTTTATACTTCTTGATCCTGCAGGTCAGGCGGTTCTGAGCTGCCTGAGTCCAATGCCTTAATTCCCGCCTGTAATCTGGGGCTCAAACCTCATTGGGGATAAAGACCACACAAAGGGAGAAGGGGAGTCCCAGGAGATGTTAAAACAAGTAAACACCTTTGTGTCTGGGGAGAGAAATCGCTGAGAAAGCAGCTTAGCGGGCTGGTCCCTGGTGTTCCTGGCCCGGCTGGCCCCCAGCCCGCGGCTAGCACGCCTGTGTGATCACAGCCCCCAGCCTGCTGGGCTCCAGCATGCTCCCCCACCCTCGCCCCTCCCGGTGGCCGAGAGCAGATTACCGAGAAGAACAATTTCTTTGTGACTGTGTAATTCCCTCCGTGACCGCGGCAGTGGGCAGACCCCTCGCCCTGATGCCAGACCCCTAGCAACCATGTAGGGGGGCCTTCTGGCCCTAGCAACCACCCCTCAACATCAAGTGCACCCGCTAATCCCTGTGGCTAGGGAACGGGTAGAAGCAGTGAGTTTCTGCCGAACGACAGAGGGGAATGAAGAAGAGGGGCACCCTCCAGGCCCTATCCCTCAGTTTCACCCAAGAGATACTAGGCTCCCTTGCATGCATGACAAGAGAAACAAGGCCCTGAGCACTTCCCAGGGACACCCAGGTAAGAGGCCCTGGGGGGGGGGGGGGGGCGGGGAGGACGTCGTGGTCTCACAAGCAGTGTTCACCAAAGGGCTGAGGCAGACGCTGTCAGCCATGTGTGTGAAAGCGGACTTCAGCTCCAGGCCTCTCGGCTCACACAGACTCTGACCCTCAACCTCCCTTCTCCTCAGTGGAGCCACCATCTTCCCTAGAGGCTGAACAAATAAAGGAGGAGGCTGGGGGTTCCTTTCTGCCTTGCCCCTTGAGCCCTGGGCAGCGAGGGGACCTCCAGCAAAGGGCACTGTGGCAGTCAGAATCCTTGCCCCCAGCCTCCTCAGGGAGGTCTTCCTCTTACGGTCTAGGCTACATCAGCCTCTGTGTTGGGGAACCCTGAGAGGGATCAGGCAGAAAGCCACTGCCCAAAGATCCCAGTCTCGTATGGATCACTGACCTTGGCTCCCAGGAAGGGCCTGCCTTCCCAGATGGGCCACCAGCTAGGATTTACCCACCCTGGGCAGGCCAGAGCCCTCCCACCCCTGCACCTCTCTTTTGAAGGTACTTCTGGACATTTGTACACACCAGGTGGGGGCTGTTTTGCTCCACAGTTCTCCCTCCTTCCAGATTTGGGGGCCCTGCCCCTTCCATTAGTGAGGCCTTCAGGAATGACTGAGGAGCTCTCCCCTTTAATCTGTAGAAGTAATTTCATGTTTGTTTGAAACAGAAGATGAAAGGCAGTGGGGGCTGGGGGCCTGAAGCCCAGCATGGCTCTGCCTGCCTACCCCTGGTCCCAGGGTTTAGAAGGAAAGAAAGGTGGGCATCCATGGACCGGGCAGGGTCAGCAGGATCAGGACCAGAAACATCAGGGCAATCAATACCCAGTTCAGATTGCCACCCTGGGCCCCCTGCCCCAGCATTCAAGCCACCACTGGAAAGCACCATGCCAGTGTCTGCAGTAAACAACCCTGCTTTCTCGAGGAGACACCAGGGCCGGAGTGAGCACCAACCCCTGGAGGCCAGGACAAGTCCCGAAAGCCCCTAGTCGGCCAGCCCAGCCTGGCCAGGGACGGAGGAGTTTCTTTCTGCTGCTGCGCTCTTCTCCGATTCTCTGAAATGGCCACACACACTTTAAATGGCCCAATAAAAAGATACAATTTCTTTTGCCTCTGGGCCTGGGACCCTCAAGACTCTGTTGTGCAGTGCCCGTGAGGTTAAGTTCAGAGCATAAACTGACACACCAGGCTCTGGGAAATGGCCCGTCTCTTCAAATAGCAGCCCAGCAGTGCCATAGGAGCCCTGCTGGGGCTTTGATTCGGGAAAACAAACAGAAATGGCACCGTGGGCCCTTCGTGGCCCCCACCCTAAGACCAATTTAACTAGAAAACTCTAGCTCAACAGCGCCTGTGAAGGGAGCAAGATCAGCCTGACAATAGCCCCAAACTTTGGGGGAAAGGGGGACAAAACAAGCTGTCTCCTCAGCCCCTCCTCTTGGGCTCCTTTTCTTACTGCAAGTGTGTTCTTGTAAAAAACGATTAGATTGCAATTTGTATAACATGGTGACCCCCAAATTCAGACGTTTCACCCCTTTTCTCTGGAAAGAATGTCAAGAATGCTTCTCGGCCTCTCACGGTGGGGGGCGGGAGGGGGGGGTGCAGAGCCTTGGCTATCACACAACTTGTGTGGGAACAGGACTGCCCCTCAGAGCCCTGGGCCAAGACAGGAGCAAGGGCCGGCTCTGTCACTCCAGAGGGCCAGACAAAAAGTCCATTCCCTTCCAACTCCTGCGCACAAAGCCTGGGCCTCCAGGAGCCGCTGGGGTGGGGGGCTCCACACCCCAGCCTCCCCCGAGCCCGACTCCAGCAATTCTCTCTCCACCCAGGGAAAGATAAAGACAGATGGGGCCACCCCTGTGAGCCTAAGAAGGAGGGCAGGCCTGGGGCAGACAGCCGAAAGGAGACATGGCCCTGAGGCCAGGCTGTGTGCAGCATTCCCTGGGAGCCCCCCGAGTGCCTGGGCAGAAGGAGCAAGCAGAGGGTGGCCTCATCCCAGGGACCCTTGAAGGGGGTGATCAGATGAGGAAACCAGGGCTCCCTGGCCCAACCCACCATGCTGCACTGTGATTCTGTCTAGAGGGAAGAAGGGGCCTAGGGAGGAGCTTCCTGACAGAAGGAAATTTAGTAAGACCCTGACCCCTCCACCACCATCTTTGTAGGGACAGCTCACTGGAGGTAGATGCTGACCCTGAAGGCCCCGATGTCCCAGCAGGGAGAGCCCCCACCCCCACCCCCCTTAGTCTGGGCCCTGCTGAGCCGGAGTCCTCTGGTCCCATCCTCCACCTGCCTCCCTCCCTGTGCTCCCAACACAAGCCACAGCCCACAGAGAGCCCTGTGCTAAAGGGCCCTGAGATATGAGAAGCTGTATCCATCCACCTCCCAGCCTGCACCTAAGAATGCCTGTGACCCCCACACCATTTTACAGCCACCATTAACACACTGGGTACCTGGGGATGTTCCCTGGAGATCCTGGGGGTTCTCGTTCCTACATCTGTCCCGGGCGTGCGGCCCCAAAAATGGCAACAGTGGCTCTCAGGGGAGGGAAAGGATGGGAGAGTGACAGTCCACCTTCCCACATCGGCTCCCATGGGGACAGAGGGCCTGAAGGTATAAGCTGGGCTGAACACGGTCAGAGAGCGGGAGGCTTTTCCTCCTTCCCACCCTCCCCTCGCTCTTCCTTTCTTTGAGCAACAGCCATTTAATGAGCTCCTTCTGTATACAAGGCATTGTGCCAAGCAGGAACTATGGGGACATGTCAGATCCAACTTTGAAGGAACGATCCCTGTTCTCAAGGAGTTTTCCACCCAGTGAAGGAGGGAGTCTGTCATGTATCCAGCTATCAGTATGAGGGGTGACTGAGTCAGTTCCAGAGGAGAAATGAAAGTTTTATAAAAGGACAGATAAGAGAACATTTCAGCCTGTGGTATGGAGTGATTCCTCAGTGAGTGACAGGAGTAGCAGGAGGGCCGAGGCGAAGGGCCAGGGTAGAGCCAGGGCACCCGGCCTGTGTTTTCACCTGGCAGGCACTCCGATATGCCCAGGATCTGGCTTCCAGACCATGGTGGCCTTTGGGTGCGTACTGCTCAGCTGGTCTGAGCTCCGGAAGGGGCAGGGAGGCGCTGTCCTCGTCCAGCGCTCAGGTGGGGAGGGTGGGAATGGAGGAGGCACATAGGTCCCAAATGTAACCACAGGGTGCCAGAGACCAGGAGAAGCCCACGGATGCTTCGCCTGCCTCAGCCCCATCAGGTGAGAGGGAAGGGCCCTGCCCGAGCACACAGCCGCTCGCGTGCATGTGTGTGCGCGTGCACAGCCCCCGGCGCCCGCCCGCGCACACGTGTTCAGACACAATGGCTCAAAGGCCAGGCAGCCGGGCAGCCCACTTTGTACTGCTAACAAGGGGACCGTAATTACAGGAAGGGGCAGCCGGGCAGATAAAAGGATACAAAATTTCAACATCTGTTGCCATAAAGGGATAAGGAGAAGTGAAACGCAAAGTATCAGTTTGGTGTCAGCAGGCAGAGAGCCAATTTCAAAGAGTTCAGGGGGACAGAGGGGACAAGAAAGAAAAAGGAAAGGGGGGAGAAAGAAAAGAAAGAGAAAGAAATTACAGGGTTCCTTAAAGAGGTAAAGAAAAAAGAAAATGAAAAAATCTGTCAGTAATACTTTCAAAGGAGAAGGCAGGTACTTTAAAGAGGGCAGTTCCCGTAATCACCCTGACTGAGGGCCACCTACCCCCCCCCCCCACCCCGGGGGTGGAGGTGGAGGCAGGGGCAGAGACAAAGCCACACCTGGGCCAGATGGGCACTACTGGTGCCCTCAGAGTGGCCCAGTCTGTGCTCAGGACACCGATGCCTTCTGCAGACGGCTAGAAAGGGCTGCAGCCAGGCCCCCCTCCCCCTTCTAAATGCCACTAGATGCTCTGATGCGCATCTCCTGTGCTCAGCCTGGGGTCCCAAGAGAAGTTCCTGGCACATGGTGACTGACAGGGCGGCCCTAGGAGCGCTTGAAGGGTTACCAACTCCAGCCACAGGAGCTAGGATCAGGGAGGGCTTTGTGGCAGAGGTGCTGTTTACACGGAAGAGTAGGCAGGACAGAGAGGGGGTAGGTAATCCGGGCACCATGGCAGCCAGAGCAAAGGCTCCAGGGGAAGATAGAGGGCCCCTGTCAGAATGTGTGAGAAGCCTACCTGCCCTACCTTTGGTGAGAGAGAGGATGTTCGGGGGTTTAGGATAGAAACGGAGGAGGAATGGGGAACCAGGGAGGACTCTGGCCAGAAGGAGAGGTAAGGGATGTGCGCAGGGGCAACACGCATGATCACACACATACAGGGCAGCACAGAGCCTAGCTGAGGACTCGAACCCTCAGCACCCTAGGCGTAGCCAGGTCCAGAGCCCACCCCTAGCCCCTTCCCTGCCCGGTGGTCCTGAGGCTGGCTCAGGGCTATGGCTGGACCCACTAGGATATGTCCAGGTCTGGGATCACGGGCCTCTCCATCCTGATGCTAGACCCAGCTCAGATGCCCTTGGCAGAAACATACAGCCCATAGCAAGAACAAGCCTAGGGAGGAGGGGTGTATAAGATGTCAGGTCAGGCAGACCTCCCAGGCCTCTCGGCAGCTGTGAGGAACGCCCCGCACAGACAACACCTTCCCCGGGACCCAGCCAAGGTTTCTGCTCAAATGCACGCAGAGTACCAGGCTCAGAAACAGGATGGCTTTGGCCTAGTACCTCAGGCCTTGATGGGATCACAGGGCCTAGCGAAGGTTACTTCAGGGATCGGCTGTTGACACTATCTGTCAAGATGGAGCCCCTGGAGCCGGCACCTGGGCCCAAAGACCACCTACCCTTGGAAGCAGGAACACTCTGGCACCTCCAAGTTGGGTCAAGAACTCCATCTTTCTCTCTGCCTGGTTTAGACAGGTTAGAAATTCCCTGACCTTGGGCCCGGCCCACGGTTCCCAACTCCAGGAGAAAGAAAGGCAGAGAAGAAAGGAGAGGGACGGTCAAGCTCCTTGCTGTCTAGACGATGGCTGTATGCCATGGCTGCCCTCGAACCCGTGTGCTCCAGCCCGCACCTCCCCCTCCCTAACTCGTAGGGAGAACAGAGTCCAGAGGGGTCTTGATGAAAGGAAGGGCTGAGGGAGCCCGGGTAACTCTGAAGGGGTCCCCAGGCACTGTGGGAAGCAGCCTAAGCTCCCAGATAGCGGGGACCTGAGAGGCAGCAGGAAGCAGACGTGCGGAGCAGGGCACCTCCACCTCCCAGCTGTGTCCCAGCCCCCGCCATCATCCTGAGGGCGGCCCCAGAGGGGGGTTGCTCGGAGCACTCCTTCCCCCGCCCAAGTCACAGCACACACATAAAAGAGAAAATCCCGGTGCTCCTCAGGTTTCAGTGGTGACAGGTTAAAAGCAAAGAATCCCCCCAGCCCCGCACAGCGCCCCGCCACCTAGTCCTGCGGGCGGTGCTGCCCCACCTTCCAGATTGGCCTGTCAGTCAGGCTTTGGCGTTATTGAAAGATCAAACTCTGTCCTGCCTGTTCATTACCTTAATCCTATTTTCTACATGGCTTTATTATCTGCTTGGGCTTCTCTGGGAAAGACAGCTACAGACAGTCACCCTGTCCATCCACTTCCTCCCACCAAAAGCAGATGCCTCCATCGGGGCATCTCTCCTCCGAGCCCCGCACCACTCAATCCTCCGGGCTCCCCTGGGAACCAGAGGGCTATGGAAACGCAGCCGGCTCCTCTCAGTGGCGAGGAGGGGTGTCTGTGCGCCAGTGAGAAGGCAAAGCCACATGGTGCCCAGGGCGGCCCTGCCACAGGCTGTCCAGGGGATGCAGTGGCGGCTTCTCATCTGGCTCCGGTCAGAATCCCGGCCGCAGCCGTCCTGTGCCTATGATCACTCGGGTTCTTCCCGGGTTCTGTAAAGACCCAGTGTTTGGGGTTAGTGACGACTAACCCCATAAGAGAGGGCCGTTCAAGGAGTTGGTGGCTTAGAACTACATCCCGGCCATAAATCTGTGCCCAGGAGTAGCCCCACCAAGGAAACCCCAGGCAGAAGAGGCCCTCAAAGGTTACTCAGCTTTTGACACAAAGCCGGGCCATGGTGGTGCACCCACCCCACCCCGGGCCCGTTCACCCCCCCTGCCCCGAGCGCAGGCCAGCGAGGTCGCCAGGCACGAGGTCCGGCTACAGGATGAAAACGGACTTTTCGGCAGAAACACCTGTCTTGTGACCTGCAGCCTTACTTCCTGTCATGGGCCTTCTCTAGGCCATGAGGTCAGCAGGACCACTCCGCCCCCAGTGGTCACAAGGCCACAGGTATTTGGAGAATCTCTAAGGTACTACTATGGAAGGCAGCCGCAGGGGAGGAAAAAGAAAGGGAGGGGGACAGGCACCGTATGGGCTCTTGTATAAAACAATTGGTTTCATACTAGTTCTGTTAAGTACAGATCATTAAATCTCATTTACAGATGTGGAAACCGAGGCCCAGAGTGCCCCCCACCCATATCACAGAGCTAAGAAGCGGCAGAGTTAGTTCGAGAACCCAAGTCTGTCTGACCACACAGCCTGTGTGCCCTCCGTAGCTCCTCACAGCCTCCCATCACACACCAGAGGAGGGGTTCCTTGGCCTCAGCCCCACGCAGAAGCAAGAAGTTTGCCGGTGGCAGGAGTTTGGCAGGGGAGTCACGGGAACGACATTCACAGACTGCAGGCGCTCCAACGTCCCAGAGGCCACAGGACAAAGGATCCCTTGGAAGTTTTAGCTGAGCTGTGCCGACAACAGTAGGATGTGACCATCAGCTACACTAACAAAAGCAAAAGATCTAGAATAAGGAGGGGATAGCGCCTGCCACTCATCATCTCACACCCGGCACGTTCAGTACTCGGTTGCGAACATCCCATTTCAAGAGGGATCCAACCAGATAAATGCAAGAAACTTTCAGGTGAGAATGGTCCTAAAACGAATGTGAGACCCACACAGTAGGGTCACCCTCCCAGCTATTCCTCACTTACTTTCTTGCTGACCCAAATCTGATTCTGTGCCCACCGCTCCCATCCTCCTTGCCACTATGCACGTGGGGGAAGCTGGGCTCTTCCCCAGACCCAGGTCAATCTTGACTGGTGATTCCATTTCCCTTGCCACGGTTTGATTCAGGGTGAGTAACGGAATACACTTTTGGCTCACTCAATATGAGGAGTCTGCTTGGGGGCTCCTATAAAAGGACTCCCCATCTTAAAAAGAGACCCAGGTAGGGACAAGTCCTCTTCCTTCCTTTCTCCCTCTGGGTATTTTGCCTCATGAGCAGGTAGAGCTTTTGTGAACAAGCCTGAGGATAAGGGCAAAACCCACGTTGACAGAGGGGGCAAAGCGGAAAGCTGAGAAGATGGGCCCTCAGCCTCTCACTGAGCTACTGCACCCGTCAATCCTGGAACCAGCGAAGCTTCCAGCTCCTGGGGACTCCTTGTCACTTACGATAATAATAATCTCTTTATTGTTGGAGCCACTTTGAAGTAGGCCCTCAATACTTCCAGCCAAAAGCACCCTAACTGATGTACTGTGTGTATAAGCAACAGCAGAAGGGCCTCAGACTTTCAGCCTGATAAAGAGAAGACACTGGAGAAACAGGACCAAAGATTTCAGATATTTAAAGCCCTGTCTTCAGAGGCAAGGTTCAACTTGCTTCTTGCCTAGAATCATAGCCCCTGGAAGCAGGTCAACTCTCGATGAAGGACAGGTGTGATAACTCTCAGGGCTCTCCAAAGATGTAATGTGGTGTCTGGGAGAGTTGCGAGTTTCCTATCCCTGTGGTTGGATGACCGTTAAGAGAATGTTGTAGAAAAAACCATATTTAACTAAAACAGCTCACGTGTTAAAAAAGAAAAACTCTTTTGGAAGACTGACAATACAATGGATTTTTCAGGGGGCAAAAAGATGGGTACCACTTTCCCGGGGATACAGAGAGGAAAGGAGACAAGCTAGAGTCACTGAGGCAGGAGACAGACAAGAACAGAACATCCTCGCTGCTGCTGTAGATCGCGGTGCTGAACCAGAGCACGGGACCTGGGGCCAGGTGCAGACGGTCTTAGACTTGACCCCACAAGCACAATTGACAAAAAAAAAAAATAATTTGGACGCCATCAAAATGTAAAACTTTGGTCTTTTATCCTGTTAAGAGGATAAAAAGACAAGCTCCAGACTTAAAGATAGAGGCAAACCACATATCTGAAAAAGGATTCATTTCTAGAATATATAAAGAACTCCCCAAACTCACCAGTGAAAAAGCAAACCGTTCAATTAGAAAATCGCCAAAAGACACGAGCAGAGATTCCACCAAAGAGAACATACAGAAGGCAAATACACACACGAAAAGATGTCATTGGCTATTAAGGAAATTCAAATTAAAGCCACGAGATACCACACCTCTTAGAATAGCTAAGACAAGAAAGAGCAGCAATTCCAAATGCTGTCAAGGATGGGAAGAAACTACATCTCTCATACCCTGGAGTTGGATTATAAAATGGTAAATATATTCACAATAGTTTGACAGGTAAAAAATTAAACACACACTTACCAAATGACCTGGCACTTGGACTCTGGGGCATTTATCCCAGAGAAATGAAAACATGTGTCCACACAAAAGATCATATGCAAATGTTCATGAGAGCTTAATTTGCAATAGTCAAAAAATTGAACATAACCCAAATGCCCTTCGGTGGGTGAATGCTGTTCAGTGGGAGAGAACTTTGGGGCGTCCACACCAGGGAATACTACTGAGCAATAAAAAGGAAGGCGCCATTGATACATAGGACGAGTGCTATGGCTCTCATGAGAACTATGCTGGGTTAACGGGGGTGGGGACCAAATCACAAAAGGTATTCCACTTATATAACACCTCCAAGCTGCCAGAAGTAAAGAGGTGGAAAACACGTAAGTGGCTGCGAGAGGTTAGAGACGAGGGAGTTTAAGAGGGCAGGGGAGGAAGATGGTGTGGCTGTACATGGGCAAGTGGGGAATCCGCCAGTTCTGTATCCTAACTGTTGTAGTAGTTACGTGAATCTACACATGGGATAAAATTGCAAAGAAACACACACACACACACACACACACACACACACACACAGAAATGAGTGCAATCTGAATAAAGGTCTGTGGATTATACCAATGTCAATTTCCTGGTTCTGATTATAATATAATATAACATAATATAATATAATATAGAAATTACTTATAAATAATTGATATCAAATTTATATTTATTATATTATCTAACGTAACACAGGTACCTTGCTGTCCTATTTTTGGAACTTCCTATGAATCTCTAATTATTTCAAAATAAAAAGCTTAAAAAAATCCAACGGAATGGTAGACAATCTGATGGGAACGTGTCAAGCTTACCAAGGCAGAGAGTTGTGAATAAAACCTGGACGTATTTTAACTGTTCTGTGTAATTCTTTTTATGGCTCTGTAGGCCGCTTCCCAAAGTTCTTTATCTTAGAAAAATCATCTCCAAGGATAGATGGGATTTTATGTAGCCACATAATCGGGCACTCCTCAGAGAAAAAGTATCGTAAATCCAAATTGTTGTTACCCTGATTTCTAAGGGAAATTACTGACCTATTATAAATTACTTCCAACAGTCTCCTCAGGCTAACTCTAACGACGCCAGGAGAGAGCACACACCTTGCAAGCTGCCAGTGAGTCGGGCCGCTGGGTTCTTCCCAGCCTCCCCCTGGACCACTCAGTGGCCCACTGGAGCCCGGGCTGGCCCAGCCAGCTCTGTGCTTTGCCTCCCTGGCTGCTCTAGCCACACCCCATAGGAAGCCGTGGTGGCTCAGGAATCTCTTACCTGTTGAGGTCCCAGATTCTTAGGGGTGAGAAGTGCCCACAACAGGCCGTCCCTGTCACAAAAGAGCTGCCAAACAAAAGGAGAGTGGAGTCAGGGCTGGCTTGTCAGAGCCTGTGGCAGAAGGGGGATCACGGAGGTGAGACAGGATGAGAGAAATGGCTACGGGGCCATCGGAGAGGCCGAGGCCGCAGGGAGACGACCAGAAGAGCGCTGAGGGCTACGACCTCCCAGGGGCCCCCAGGTTTCAGGACGGCTGAGCTCGCCACTCAGAAGGGTCTCGTGGTCTCTGCCCACCAGGAAAGCACTTCTCCAGACGTGCAGCCCTCAGGTCAAGACAGAGCACGCTTGCCGGGCTGCAGAAATGGTCTCCTGGGAACAGGCTGCCGGGTGCCGGAAGGGGATGCCCTGGTCAGAGGTAAGGGCGATGGGGGGCACGACTGACAGTTTTAAGAGCTGGGGGCACCTGTAATGTGCAAGCGCAGGGCGGGTACGATGGCACCACACTGACCAGAGGGAACCATCAAAAGCGAGTTACACATGAGAAGACGAGATGGGTAACGTGCTGGGATGTGAGGGTGCAGAGAGAGTGGAGGCCCAGGCTGCTGGGGCTGCCGTGGAGTGGGACGGCAGGCAGGCAGGCAGTTTAGAGGACAAGGACACACCCCATTTCCCAGAGGATCTCTTAAATCCCTAGAAAGTTCAACACGTGCCATCTGCAGAGTTTCATTTTAGGTGGAGGCCCCAGGCTGGCAGGCAGGTTCCGCACGGTGAGCCAGGCCGGCCGGAGCACCGGGACTGGAACTGGGACCTACGTGCCAGACCCCACCTTTGTGGGGGACTTGCTGGTGGGGGTGAGGGAAGGAGGCCTGCAGGAAGCCTGGCTAAAAAAACCTAACCATGAGCAAGAGAGTCAAAAATGATTGTGTCACTCGGGAGCCCTGGGGCAGGGAAGGGCAGGTCCCTACATGTCTGGAGCTGGGGGGTGGGGGGAGCAGACAGATTAATGACACCTTAGCAGTGTGGGGCAGCAGCCCATCCTCCCTGGCCCTGCCCAGCACCTGTGGCTCTCTCGTCCCAAGCGGGTCAGTGGGGGGACAGATTTCTGTAGAGAGGGCTCTGAAGAAGCCAGGGGCTTTGGCTGCGGGAGGCAGCCTGCCGGTCGCCGATGGGGGAGAGATCGGGGCAGGCGTTGGCCGACCCACCGATTTACAATAAAAATGGCAGAGCAGGTGTCTGCTTTTTGACTCCAGGCTGATTAAAAAGGCCACACGAGCCACCCTGGGGCTTCCATGCCTCAAGCCAAGAGTTTCTTAGGGACATGCTCCATCATCCCAGCCTCCTCTCGACCCACTAGAGTGCCAGCAACCACTCACCCGGAATGGTGTGCCAAAACAGCCACTCCATCATGCCCCAAGGGACTCCCAGCCTGGAAATCGGCCACTGGACACTGAAGCCCCAAGCTACAAAGCCAGGAGGTGCTGTCCTCACCTCCCTCCCCTCAACATTTTTCTCTGGAGGGTAATCCATTAATAACTGGTAAAGCCAATTACCTTGGGTTGGAAACATAATAGCCACTTGGAAAGCATTCAAGCAGGCAATTGGGCTCTTCAGACTTTCGAGGAGCGCGGGCCAGGTGAGGCGCGCCAGCACGGACGCAGACATCTCTCAAGGAGGCCTCGGATGGGCCACAGGTGTGACTCAGTGAGCAAGTAAGTCGAGAGGGAGGGAGATGGGAGGAAGCATCTAGAGCACCTCCCAGAAGGCTGGGGCGGGGCTGCCAACACCTGCTCCAGGGACTCCCGTCCTCCATTCCTGCCCCCCTGTCACCAGTCCCACCAGGAGGACTGCCTCTCACCTCCGTACCCCACGAAGGCCTTTTATGATTGTCTGGACACGACGCCCAGAAACGTTTCTTTCCAAAAGCTGCCCCCTTCCCTTGCCCAACTATGCAGTGCAGGGAGGAGGAGGGGGAAGGAGAGAGACACACCCCCCCCAGCACGTACGAGGACCTAAGAGAATAATCAAATTGAACACTCAGTACGGACCCTGTAAGCAACGGTCAAGCAGCTTTGGAGCCAGGTCCTGCTGGGCACACACACCAGGACGCACACCCCGACCGTGGGGACTGCCAGGACTCGGCGTGAAGCTGGCTGCGGGCACAGCACCGCACACCTTGCACTGTTCCTCCCTATATGCGGCCACACTTGCTCCCCACCTCACCCCTCAGCTCCCGTAGACTTCAGAAAGCAGAAGGCAAGAGCCACAGACCAGCCATGTTCAAGGTCAGAAGATTAAAAGGCGTGCCCGAATGCAGGACACACCTGGTGCAGGGGTGGGAGGAGATGGAACTCACTGTCCCGGGACACCCAAAGGATGCCTCACATGACACAGCAAGTTCCCAATAGAAGCGATTATTCCCACTGCACAGAAAGGGAAATGAAGTGATGGCCAAACTTCTACAAGTTTCCAGGAACTCCTTCAGCATACTCACCCGCTTCCCGGGAGCCCCACCAGAAAAGGTGCTCCAAATGGAGGCCGGTGGGGTGGGGGATATGCACCCCAGGAGGCCTCCCGCCCCCACGAGCTCAGCCTCCACCACGCCGTCTCGCCCACACGTAGTGCCATCCCGCGCCACGCGTGCCAGCCCGCCGTCGTCCTGCACCAGATCTCCCCATGCCCTCCCTGTGCCGGGCCTGTGCCACATGGGCCAAAGGTTCTCCTGGAATGCTCGGAGATGCCCTCGGCGAACACGGGTACCACCCCGCCAGGGGCGCCTCCGAAGCGATGACTCAGAGTCTAACCCATTAAAAGGTCTTTGCAATCTCCGCTTAGAGTCTGCGGTCACTGAAAAAGCCAGCTCTCCCCAGAAAGAAAAGAAAATGCAAATGGCTTTTGCCCTCACTCCCTCTCTTTTTCGGGGGTATCCTAGGGATGGGGACGGCAAACCTGTGAATAGACAGAGGCAGAAGCTGCTGGCTCCTCAGGTGACATGACCACCCTTCCTCCAGATCCCTACCACACTTGATCTTGTCCTTGGGACAAAGGGTATTTGGGGGGTTATTTCCCCATCTTCCCTTTGAGATCATGGACCATCTGGGGACTCCTGTGTCCTCTGGTGCCCAGCACAGCACCTGGCCCGAAAGAGGTACTCGGCACAAGTCTGTGGCACCAGACTGCAAGGGCCTTCCAAGCTCACAGCCAACCAGGCTGGGGAAGCTAGTCATGTGGGCTATGAACGGGGTCCCTCTGCTTCTTAAAGAAATAATTCCCAAATCACTGGACTGAATGACACACGACACAGTCATACATCGTTGGTTGGCAGTGGAATCCCTCATAAGCACCACAACCAGATAATAGATGAGAAGTACCAACAGTACCTACAAATTAATAACACACACACACACACACCCTCTTGCACAAGTACACACCCACGCTCTCAGCTTGAGGGTCTAAGAGGCATTCTGACTCTATAAACTCTGCTCTTTTTGGATGAGAAAGCCCTGATCAGAAGCTAGCCCTCTCCAATTTCTCATCTTGCCCCAGACCTTGTCCAGGTTCCCAACCTACCTTCCTGGCCCCCTGGTCTGAGCTCAAGCAAACCTGGCACCACAGAGATCATCATCAGGCCCAAGAAGCAGACGTGGGAGCCCCACATCAGAGAGAGACGCCAGGAGAATTAGGGGTTCAGGTGCTCAAGTTGAGGAACAGAAAATAACAAGAAAAAGATGAGAGGAGAAAGGGAGGAAGGAAAATTATTCAGGCATGAGCAGGGTGAAAAATAGAGTCCTGCTGCCTCTACCTTCATTCAGGCCCTCTTAATTACATCAGTCAGTCATTTATTGAACACTTACTATGTGCCAGGTTCTGAGGAAGGATTTCACAAACATCATCCCATCTAATCATTGGAACTCTGCGCAGGTACCACTTTCCCTATTTTACAGATGGGAAAACTGAGGCACCCTGCTCTGGCTCCCACAGGGAGAACTAGTAGGGCTGGAATTTGAACCTACCCTTGCCCAGTACGTTCTCTCCCCAGCACCTCGTACAGTGCCTGACACACACTGAAAACTCCAACCCTTGTTGAGTGAACAAATGGACAACCGAACAAATGGCCCCACCCGGGAGAAGAAAGGAGAGTCTGAGTGGCTCTGAGGAGGCAGCACAAGTGGCGTGCTTAGCAGCTGTGCCCCGCGGCTGGCCTGGAGCCACCCAGCTGGCCCAGGCCCCAGCCGCCTCCGAGCCGGGGCTGACACACTTTGGCAAGGGAGGCCACCAGAGCTGTCACATCATTCACCAACATGCCCATCAAGTGTATTCAGTTCTCTTCAACCCGCATTGGCATTTTAATTACTGTTGGGTAAACTAATTTGTACAAATGAAGGCCGGGCTGCCTAATAGAATATGCAAGCTCTCTGACCTCTGACAGGCACTGACACGAGATACAAAGGCCGCCGAGGAAGGCTTTTTATCTGAGCCTTATTACTCTCTATTACTCCAATTAGTCAGGCT